AAAAAAAAAAAAAATACAGGGCAAATGCCGAGGGCCGCATCTTCTCGGGCGCTCGAGATGGCCATCTCGAGCTCCCACCCAATAAGAATGAACCTGATAGATGCAAGGAGTCTGTGAGGTAATCCGTCATACAGCTCGAGACATCTAGGGTGTAAACCTGGGTTCATGGCCCACTATGGCAGGGCGGCTCTACGTTACGCGTACCGTAGAGACTTCCGGTTTTAGGACCGGATTATCGCCGGTCCAGGGCATCGAACTATTCCCCCATGGGAATGTATGGAATAGTTCGCGGCCGAGGTCCATATGCATGGACCTCTTCGCATCACAGGATGCGGAGTCAAACCTTCCCGAGTCTCGGCCGCCGGGACCAGGGACCTCGAGAGCGCCGCCGGGCTACGCACCGGCGAGCCTGTTGTTCCCTAGTTGATCCGGGGTGCTCGACCCGGTATAGGACGCACGTGACCATGACCATGGTCACATACGATTTGTTACAACAGAGTCTTCTTAAGTTGGGTTTATATGGTGATGCAGATGCATCGTAGTTTTGACCCTATCCTCTCTAATTTAGAATTTAATGATCAAATGACTACATAATACTCAAATTCCAAAACCAGGATAGGCCATGGTAGCTTGATAAATCATAAGCCCTCGGTATATGATGACGTTAAGCCACTCCTTATTTGTCGATTGTTGAATCCTCACTCGATTACGACTAACAGTGTCTATGGTCACCAGCAAAAAATGTCAATCATACAGAATAGAATGGTTTGAATCAATCAATGTACTTTAAATCATGTATGAATTGTATCTAATGAACTTGAATGTTTAGAAATTCGATAAACACTTACTTTCGAGGAATCCACCCCTAGGTTTGGTATCAAATGTATTATAGGCTAATTAACTTGTTAAAAAAATCACTAGTACCCGTCGGCACGGCCCAACTTACGCCAGTAGTCACTGACGCCGTGGTATTCGCGGTCCTTGTCGACCCAGAAAATCCCATTCATCGCCGTGAGAGTACCCAGTTCGCTGATGTTGTTCTTTCTTTGTTCCAAGCTCTTAATCCCACCAGGGTAAAGATCCTCGAAAAGAGTACGGTTCTCAATCATCACTTCCTCAGGAATCAATTGGTGGTGGAGACGAGGGTAGGCCATGGCGTCAAGCAACGTGTAGTTGTAGAAGTAGACACCAGCAATCACTTGAAGAATGGCAGTGGGGATTCTCAGCCCACCAGCACAGCCAATAACCATTTCGGGACGGCCACCTTCATCGACAATGATGGTGGGGGTAGTCAGCGAAAGCGGGTGCTTGAACGGTCTGATGAAGTTGTGCACCGAGGGTCTCAAGCCAAAGGCGTTAGCAGCATCAGGAGTAGAGAAATCGTCCATCTGGTTGTTCAAAATGATCCCCGTCTGGTTGTCGTAGACAAGACTGCCAAACAACAAGTTGACGGTCGTCGTCATCCCCACGGAGTTGTTGTTGGCGTCAACCACCGAGAAGTGAGACGTGCCCATCAGCTTGGCGTTGTCGTAGTCAGGGCCATAGTTTTCCCAGGGGAAAGTCGTGTTATCGGCGTACTTCTTTTGCTTGAGGACATCTTCAATCCACTGGTCACCGGTGTAGTTCTTCACCAAGTTGAAGGTGTAGTTGGCAGGAGTGTCGCCGAAACGAGTTCTGATTGCCGCAAGCCATTTAAACAGTTCCACCAACTTGTGAAGGAACAAGTCCTGGTCGTCGTGGTCAAACACTTTGCTGAAAAACTTCAAACCAGCCAACATCGCCAACCCCAGCGAGGTACCTTTAGAGGCATACACTTGACGTTTACCTTGAGGGAAGTCCACGGTGACATGAATAGGCTTTTCCACGGTGGCGTCGTAGTTTCCGAAATCAGTAGCTTCCAACACCCCACCGAACTTTTGAGCCAGAGCCGCCATCAGTCTCGCCAAGTCGCCCTCAGGGTCGTAAAAGATATCAGCACTGCCGGAGTTAGCAATTTTTTCCAACGTGTTGGCGTAGTTAGGTCTCTTGATCAAATCGCCTTCCTTAACCAAAGTGCGGTTAGCGTTACCAGTACTGTTAGCACCGCCCTTATAGATGAAATCCCACAGAGCCATAAGCTCAGGCGATTCAGGGAATGCCTTTTCCAGCTCAGTCTCAAGGATCAGGGCAAAGAGAGCCGAGCACGGCCACCCTTCACGGTTAAGCTTGATCACGGGTTCAAACAATTGTTTCCAGGTGAGGTTACCCGACCCGTGCCAGCTGTACAAGTTCCATAACCCTTTCAATTCACCAGGGACACCGACAGCAAGCCCGCCAATGGTGGATTGGACGGGGTCATCCTTGAACATGTACTTAGAAGCACCGGCGGGAGCAAACTCACGAGCGTTGATGGAGATGACGTCATCCTGGTGCTTAGACAAGATGAAGCCACCACCACCGATACCCAGCGAGTGGGAATTGACGGAACCAATGCACAAGGCAACAGTGATGGCAGCGTCAGCAGCGTTACCACCTTTTTGGAGGATTTCCTTACCCATAGTCGAACACAAGGGGACGTCACAGGCGACCATGGCCTGCTTCCCAGTCACCAAAAGGTTCTGATCAGGGTGGATCAGAGGCTGGCCCACCTTGTCCAGCAACGGGTCGGCCCGTTTGCGCAAAAGGACACCAACTTCAGCGTAAGGGTCGAGCACCCGCACATGGCGTTTATACTTGGGAGCAGCGGCGAGCGGCTGAGGAGCACCAGCGCGATGTACTGTCACAAAGCATATGCCAAGGATACCCAAGAGGGCGATCACCGAAAGGCGGGCCAACTTGGTAGAGAGTGATGCCATTGTTTATTGGGCCAGAAAAAGCATGGGGAATTGCTGAAGTAATTATAGTCTAGGGAATTGGGGAGGTAGCGGGGCATTGTTCATTTCCTCCGTAAACACCCGCAAATAGGGTTACACCTACGAGTGGCCCTTAGCGGCGTTTTTCGACGCCGTGTGCCTGTACGCCGTAGGGGCGATTTCTGTATAGGGTACAGTTTGCATAATGTGCAGGGCAATTCGTATACACCCAACAGCAAGGTATACTTTCAGCAGCATGCCTTAGTGAACCAATTGCCACTGCCAATTGAGTTTGTGGCAATTTTTTATAGTATTCCTTTAGTCAGGTACCAGTGTCAGCCCTTTGTTGAGATTGTGTCGCTACTGGTAGTCTAGCAATTTAAGTATGATAGACCCAGCGAGATGCGCCGAGAGTTGCCAAGGCGACGGGTGCCAGGGCAACGTGCCAGGGGAAAACAAGGCGGGAGCAGTGCGGCATCGCTGAGGGCTATTTCCAGCGGGTAGGTGGACTATTGTGTAAGCGGGTCAACCACGGGCTCCCAATTCCGCATTTACATACAAAAAATAGTGTGGGGTAGCGATGAGTGCCGTGCGACCCTGGTCAACGCCGCAGCCTTAAGGACCTTCCCCACAAACAGCTAGAGGAGAATGCGACAATGCGACAATACGACAGTGCTCCGAGATTTACCCCACAATTTGTTGAACGAATACCCCTTTGAAGGCGGGGACTGAATGGGGTGCAAATACGGAGGAATGGGGGTGCCAATTCGATTATCGAGAACTCGATCGATGTCGCCATAAGTGTTACCGTATCGATGAGATGTGGCTTTTCAGACAAAACGGCGATCCTGGCGAGTGTGGCGGGAGATGCAGAAGACCATCCAATTGAGAATTATGCAATTGACTCCGAATGCATGGCAATCTTTCAACAATTTCAATTGACTTCGACAATTGGGGGTAGGTTCGAGGGGTAGAGGAAGATGTTGGGGAACTTCGAGGAGTTAAAAGAAACCAGTAAAGAAATGTAGTACAGTTTGCATGTCATTACGAATGAGTTGCCACCGTGATAAGCGTTTAGGCGATGAGCATCGAGCCCGGCAGACGGCGCCGGTAACGGCCGCTGGAACCGAGGGGTACGGGACCAGGTGTTGAGGGGAATCTATGAGGTAGAGAAACGACGACGGTGGATCATTGCCATCCACTCAATACACAAACATTGGTCCTGGTCCAGTTTTCATCGAACTCATGAACATTATCAGAGCTGAGTTCATCGACGCTATTCCTCGTTAGGATTGTGATGCCAGCAGGGCCAAGTTCTTCTTTCCTATGCATCCCCTTGGCGAATTTGAAAACGCAAATGACGTAATAACCTCTGTCACCAAGTTTCGCACCATAAATCTCAATCAGCACAAAGAGAGCTTCACGAATGAGCGACGACACACAGCTAGGCTAACGTAGACATTAGAACAAGTCCATTGAAGCTACAGCGATGCCCATTGTTTGGTGTTGTAGATCCTGGGAGCCACCTCTGGTCATAGTATGGACAAATAAGGCCTCCATGACTTGAAAGGCGATGGACTTGTGGGACTTGCACTGAACATGAGCGATAATGTCGAACTTTCCTACCTTCAGTCAAACTAAATGTGAATATTAAAGATATATGCAAAGCTAATCGAATCTCAGCAACGCCAGCGCCAACACGTCCTCTTCTTCGGGGGTACCCTGGGCCTCCAACTCCCGTTTCCGTCTCAACTCGTTCTCCCGCTTCATATTGCGTTCGGCCCACAATTTGCGTTCGTCGATAACGTTCTTGCGCTTATTACGAATCTGTTTGCGGAACTTAGAGTTCTTTTCCGGGACGTCGGGGCGTAACTCGACCTTGTCGGAAATCGGTTCCGTCACTGCCGGCATCGACACGTGCTCGGCACGCGGGTCGACGGTACCGATAGTGGTAGGATCGAGGGCAATCAGGTCTGCCGGCAACTTATTAAGCAACGCCCGCACCTCCAGTTCTTGTCTCTGCTTAGCCGACTCGTAAGGGTTGATTTCAAGAGCATCGTAGTTGGCTTCCCCGGCGCCAGGGACGATGATCAGTTCTACCCCTTTAGCGTGGCCCACCCCCAAGATATCTTCAAACGGGACAAACTGGGTGTTTTCCACGCGGCTGCCGGGTACCAAGTGTTTCATATAAGGTTCCCATTGCTTTTCCGTCAGAAATAAGTCCTTCCACACCGTCACGTGAGTGTTCCAGGCCACCAGCACTAACCCTCTGTCAGAGATATCCACCAGCTGTGCCGGTGTCGGAGTATGGTAGTAGTTTAATTCTTGGTATTTGCGCAAGTCCCACACCCGAATCAGCTTATCGGCCCCGGCCACCACCATATATTTCCCCTCACGGTCAATCGCCAAATCTCTTACGGGGCCTCGGGAGCACTGAATCTTGGCTAACGGGGTCAGCATCGACGGCAGCCACAACAGCACCGACCCATTAGCGTGGCCCAAGTGCATCACTGCGTTCCAGGGGTTCTGTTTCATCAGCTGGGTCGGCCCCAATTTGGTGCGATGAGCACTGACAAGCTCCCCCGTCAGGGTATCGCAGTATTTAAGCCACCCACTGTGGCCGGCACCAACCAAAAGGAAGTGGTAGGGTAAGAAGTCCAAGAGCGTCATCTCGGTAAAGTGCTTTAACCGGTGGATTTCCGTGCCTCGATGGTCGTAGATGAAGGTATACTTCTTCTGGGCGGCAGCGAAGTACTGGTTGTTATGGAGATAGTGGATGGCATTAACGGTTTCCCCCAAGTGTAACTCACATCCAAGCTTGCCCAACCGCCAGTCCATCAGCGCCACGTGCCCCTTGCGGCCCCCGATCAACATGTGGCGCCCGTTTCTCAGAAAGTCCACCGAGTAGGGGCCAAACTCGGTCAATTTGAAGTTGAATTTCTTTGTGGCGGTCTGGTAGTCGACCTCCTTGACGATGTCCCGCTGTTGGAAGTGGTAGGTCTTCTCCATCCCCTCGGCTTCGAGCATACCCGCTTCTTCGGCGAGCAACAACTCCGTCAGCGCCGCCTGCTCCACTGCCTCCTGGTAGCGTTCATCCGTCCGCTTGATCTGCGCCTGGATGCGGCGGTCTTTACGTGGTTTGCGGACCTTGGCCGTGGCCGTGGCCTTGAGCTCACGTTCGTACTTGGACATCGGGGGTGATAAGGCGATGAGGAAGGGTCCGCGCGCGATGAGATGAGGGGGTGGCGTGGGTGCAAGAACTGGGCAAATATGGGTAGGAAGGGCTTGGAAATGGTAGGGAATGGTTAAAGGAGGGTAAGGATGATGGTGGTGGGGTTAGATTTTGAGTTTTGGCGGCGTGTGCGGAAATTGGGTACTTGAAGTTAATTGCAGGTCAATAGGCAATTTTTACACAAAAATATATAGCCTTTATGGCCAAGTGGTAAGGCACCTCACTAGTAATGAGGAGATCGTCAGTTCGAATCTGGCTGAAGGCATCCGTGCGGGCGCGCACTGGACTCCCCACCTGAAGGCGCCTGGACCTTGGTAGGAGGAGAACCCCGTGAGAAGACTAAATGAGTGGACTCGGAGGGACGCAAATAAACAAACGGTGTATAAGACCTACGGGGCATCATCGGGCTCATAACCTGGCAACTACTGCCCGGGCCAAGGAAGGTCCGGGAACTGGCCAAATGTGTGGCTGGGCCTCTAAAAGGGGGGTTAATATATTACAAATGTCGAGGTGATGGATCCCACCCGACATCTAGCGCGACGCTACCAACTGGTTATTAAGAGATAGGGCTCATCAAACCATCTCGGGGACTACCAGAGATAAATGTCCCCACCCCCCTTTTTGCCCTCCTAGTCTATGTTTCCAGATACAGTTTCTATTACCTGTCAAGTGTAGTGGATCCAAGGCTGGGCTTTTAGAAGAACTAGACATTAGTTTGTCAAAATTATTGAGGAAAACGGATTTCTTCTTGTTAACGCCTGGAAGTTTTCTGGCCAGCGGTTGAATGATTGTATGACAAATCGCACCTAAACTACTTGTTGATGGAATAGAAACTACACTGATGTTAAACTGATCATTCGTTAGATTGATTCATCACATTAAAAACGGGTTTCACGACCTTGTATGCGAATTGTTCCAGACATTCCCAGTCTCAGCATCCAACAACCACTACTGTAACAATTCAAAGCAATTTGTTCACTTACAAGTCATCAATCATGGCCTTGTTCATCCCACTTTTATTTTCTGCCAAAGTCTTTTGTGTGTCTCCTTTTCAAAAACATCGCCGCAATTAGCAAATTCGTAATATAATGAGACAGCGGTAACGATTTTTCGGAAGGCCTCTTGTTGGTCATCAGTAGAAGACTTCATCAACGAAACTCTATAAGCATTCATGCACAGCACTAACACATTAAGAAGGTGGCATTTGTTGTTCAAGTCATGGTAGCGTTGTAAGCAGAGGACCTTCAGGAGCCCAGATTCGTTGACCGAGTCTTCGTTTGTTGGTAGATCCCAAGAATACTTCAGACATAGTCTTGCAAAAGTACTCATATTCATCGTCATCGTATTCAGGACAAGTGCTGTCGAGTTGTTTGTATTTGGCTCTGATCTCGGCTTCAACTTTAACCCTGGCATCATAGCGAATCTTAGCTTCAGCTTCCTCCTTAGCTTCTTTCTCTTCCAGGGCTTTCAAATAAGCCTGCATTTCGGCGATGCATTCCTCTCTGGCACCATCCATTTTTCGTTAAACTCAATGGCTGGATCACGTATAATATATAGTTGCCGAGAGAGGTTGGAGCTTCCTAAACCCCCTGAGTCATCCAAGTGCGAGAATGCGCCGCGACGTCCGCTGCAAGCGAAGTTTCAGAAGTGTCCACAAATATCACGACCCCATCTACGCTTAATACACTGCGGCGAAGGTTCCCTTACCCTGATATTCATTAGACTCTTGCGAAGTTAAGTCTATATATAATAACCGCCCCCTCTAACCGGAGACTAAGCCCCAACCACGATCCGCCCCTGGCATCCAATAGGGAGGCACATGCACACCAAACCGAACCGCTGAAATCATAGTCGGCAATTCAAAGCGCATGCGACAATCGTTTCCCCTCGCCACTATCTGGCGTGCATACGTCATCTCACTAGAAGGATCGGCGCTGACGTCAGTATATAGCACTGCGTGCCGAGAAGCTGGACGATTAATAGCTCCATTAATTTCGCCTGTATTTGTTACGCCAATACTGGTACCTATAGCTCTCTCAGGCTCGCAAAGTCCAACGTCGGCATTCTCGCGAGCTTCCCCTCATTTGTCGATGAGCCATTAAAAAATATGGCTGGCCACGACCAAGATAAAAGGATCTACTGGTTTCTGTTATTGAAATCAGCCCACTAATTGAGCGAGCAACCCCATTCCCGTGACATTTATCTCGCTGGTTGGGGCTGATACTACAACTGTGCCAATTCATACAGTAATGGCAAACACCGACGTGTATATGGACCCTCGATTTTCAAGAGAAGACCAACCACATCTACTCCCAGGTATCAAGTGGTACACCTGCCCTCTTACATCTCCATGAGAAGGTGTCCATACCTATTGGTATTACAGGGCTAAAACCTCGTTTCGTTACATTCAAGTATAGAATTCACGTGCCATTCATATAAACCAAATTATCTCAACATATTCATTATTGTTCTCCATTATCATCGTCCAGGTCCAGCTCATTCATACCCAACCAAACACGAGCTTGCCTTTCACAATTCAAGTTAAGTACTTTCCAAGCCCATAACCTATGCTCAGGTACAGTCCTAATATGTTCGGCAAGTATATGACCCCAACAGCTCATCGGACTCTCATCACATTCCGCGTAATCGTGTTCAATAATGTACTTCAACAGAATCTTCATAACCTGAAGGTTCTTGACAACCCACGGGTACAATTCCTTTTCATTTTCGGGCCGGGTACGTAAGTAATTGACATCGATGTTCAATCTGGTGAAGTATTCACTTCTCATTCTTGCTAAGGTGGTGGTTATTGGAAGAGAAGACTGAAGTGCGACAAACAGGTGCAATATAAAGCTTTATTTTGGATACAGAACAATTGTGATCCACGATGACTCAAAGGCTGGTCACGATTTCCCATACCACACATGCAGTGACGCCAAAATCACAAATTTCAAATGCATTACGATGACGCTTGTTCTTCTACAAGCGCCTATGACAAATATTGCAGTACCCTTGTTTTAGGGGAGGGTGCAAAGGCCCTATTGAATACCAGCACACCGAATGCATGTGATTACTCAAACAATTGGTGAATCACACGAGTGTTCTCTCAAAGATATTATAGGGCAAGATTTTAGTTTTCTTACATTCAGTTTAGACTTCACGTGTCATTATAAATATATCACAATATCGTCCAGGTCCAGCTCATCGTCCAGGTCCAGCTCATCGTCCAGGTCCAACTCATCCATGCATAGCAAATTCCGGGCTTGCTTTTCGCAATCCAAATTAAGTATTTTCTCAGCCCATTTCATGTACTCAGGTTTAGTCTTGATCTTATGAATAAGGATGTCAGCCTTCAAACACTCCAAACTTCCGTCATCCTTCAAGTTATCGTTTTCCAAAAGTAGTTTCAACAGCCTTTTCATAAGCTTGAGATTTTCAAGAACCCACGGATACAAATTGTCACCCGAAGTTGGTGGGGTGTTTAGAATGATGGATTCGTTGTCCAGTATGGATATGGTATCACTGTCCATTTTTAGGAAGGCGACGGTTGTTGGAAAAGAAAAATAGAGTGCGACCAACAGGTGAAATACACAGCTTTATATTGGACACTGAGCAATTGCGCTTTACAATGCGTCAACGGCTGTCTACGGAACATCTGTGCTTCACGATGACTCGAAGGCTGGTCACGATTTCTTATTGCACACATGCCGTGACGCCGTAATCATGAAATGCAAATGCATTACGATGACGCTGGTTTTTCCACAAGAAAACCTGCAATACCCCTGTGCATGGGAAGGGTCCAAAGGCCTCATTAGTACAATATGGTGACGGACAACACGACAATACTCCATTAGCTTTTGGCTTTTGATGGACGTCTGAAGCAAGCGCACTTTGATTAGCTAGCGTAGTGTCACGGTGGTTTATGAGTCACACATGGATTAATGACCGAGAATGCGATTATTTGTTAGGTTTCAGTGTGCACAGAGTTCCTTTCCGCAGATTTACAGAGGGGTACCCGCAGAGGGAAGCGTCAACTTGCAGCAGTGCGGCGATGCACTGCATGTACCTAGATATAATCGTTAGTAGTACAAGATATACGAGCTGAGGACGGCACTAGTCCCAATCTCTTTTCAAGGAGGGTATTTAACAACTTCCCCGGTTTTGAAAATGTGAGAACTTTCAGAGAAAGCCATTGCCGGCGAGGAAGAATGTGTGTCTATAACCTTCCCCTCATTCCGCGCGTAACCCATAGCCTCACGGCCCCGTGTACGCCTCCAACGCCACCCACGACGACAAAGTCAGAAATTCGTTTGGTCAAGTGGGATCCTAGTATATTCACGTCTACATCAATTTGAAACCTAGTAATACACAATACGTGATTACTGCTATTGTTGACCTTTTGAGGTCTCGAATTGCTTCGCCTCATCAATATACGCCTTCATCGCTGGTATCGCTTGGGGATATCTCGCTAACAAATGATCAAAGCATGCTTTTAACTCATGATTTGTCTTACAAAAATTGTAGTTATCGTCCATCAAATCCTTTATTTGTCTTCATCAACTCAGCATTCTAACTCAACAACCGATCAATATCTCTCACCAACCGACCATTATGCCTCACCAACCGTTCATTCGATGATTGTTGAGCTTCTATCATCACAATTCATCTCAGCTTCAACTGAGCGTTCTCTTCCCACCACGGCTGTTTCGATTGAGACTGTCTGTGCAAATTCTGCTCCAAATTTTCCACAAGCACCAACAAGTTCTCAATCTTCTCCATGAACTCCAGCAGTGTCGCTCCCATGTTCTCTTGTAGATGTGGCCAAGCCCGTGGAAATGCCTACCAGTATCGAGCCCAAGTGCGAGAAGTCCGAAAAAAGAGGTCCGTGATATCAGTGGCGAGTGTGGCAGGATCAAGGGCACTCTTTGTCATGATGTGCTAATGAAGTAACGTCAAGTAATAATGCCGAGGAACTAGTGATGTTGAGCAAAACTCTTCTAGTTTCAATACCTTCTTTGGTTGGACCTCGGTGCACGTACAAGCTTGACCCACGTATGTGCCGATCTCTTGGAGCCCCCTATTGTAGATGAGGCAGGTTGAGGGAAGTAGAGAAGTGAAGAGCCATGCTATTTACAGACAGCGAGCACCATGGGTTTGCAAAGGGGTTTAAGGCTGAGGCTCATTTCCAAACGACACGCATTCGCTTAGATGACAAAATCAGCCACCTGGTAAGTTGTTGCGTCCCTGAGCCACGTCGCTCTGATCACTATCAAATGGATTCAATCGCTGTGACTACATGATCATCATCAAGGCTTACATTTTATTTCATCTCTCATGTTATTCAAATACTATATATGGGGCTATTCCTGTAAGGCAAGCACCAAATCCGTCAACCGCTCGATTTCGGCTTGGTCTTCGCGATGTATTTGGATCAATCGTTCCCCCCACTTATCCCACTCTTTTTGGGCTTCCGCTTGTCTTTGTTTCAAGAAAGCGATCGTCTTTTCCATTCGCTTCACTTTCATCTTCAACAGTCTAATCTCAGCGGCGCACGACCGCTGTCTCTTTTGCTTTCTCGTCTTGTAGACGTTTATGAGCCACTCAAAGATCATGGTGAGTGTATGAAGAAGAGGAGAATTGGAAAATATTACTGGATTTCAAAAGTGAATGGCGCGATGGGGTCACTCTTTTGATGCAATACGACTGGTATAGCGATACGAGCACGCAACCGCACCAGGGATCTAAGGATCTCCTCCCGAGCCACAAAGGCAAAACTAAGTACTAAGATCTCGTATCCGTGATTAGATGATGTATTCACTGAACTCACTACTTAGACGTTACCCTAGTTCAACTGGTATCGGACTATTCTCAAAGGATTGAATTCCACACTCAAACTGCCACTAATGGTTCAACAAGCCGTACAATTCAGCTATCACCTTAGCGTCCTTCAATGCCGCCGTCTCCTCCTCCAATATCACCACTCTTGCCCGCAAATAAGCCAATTCCCATCTCAACTCGTCCACTTTCGCTACCAATCTGGTAGTTTCAGCGTCGCGTGCCGTCTGTCCCAACTGCGTCGCTCTAGCCTTCGAGCGCTTGATCCCAACAGCGCCGGCCGGACGTTTTGCGCCCATTTTACCCTGGAAGTACCGGTTGGGCCCCGCAAACCACTTGAGTAAAATCATGTTGATTGTCTTAAAGGAATTAGATACTTGAACTACGTGGCAAGTCATATATGGTCGTATACGCGATGAGGTCATTCCCTCGAGAGACTATACGGTGGGCTCAGCCCTATACGAAGCGGTACGCATAGTGCCAACGGGGTCGACTGAGAGGCCACTAATTATTAAGCAATTACGTATAGTTTGAGAGTATTTGAAACTATCAAGTGGTTCCGTCTCACATAGAAGCTCTTTGATTGTAGGCATTATACTAACTCTTATAAACTGAGAAGGTACGGCGGTGGGATGACAGTCTTAGTTAAGATCCATTGATAACTCCAAGTGACAGCACTCTGGAACTACTGACATATACCTGAACAATTCAGGTTCTGAGTCTCTCTTTGACTGGATCTTTTTGCAGACTACGAGTTAGTTCGAAGCCCCCCAATTCCAGTGAAGTAAGGAACACATCTCCTATGTCGAGTACACTAGGTGAGGAATAATAAACCTACGATGGTTGATCTACGTTGCGATTTCAGAAAGTCATGGTATGGATTATATATGCGAAGTATTAACGGCGCCCTAATGCATTTCCGGGGAGTAGGCGTACTTGGAGAACTTTCTGATCTTGGCCCCGTAGATGAAGAACAAGAAGGGGATGAGGCAGCACGCGAGGGAGATGAACCCCATCAACGACGTCGCCCACTCGTACCCCAACCTGTGGTACATCTGGATGGTGAACAAGGGGACACACGCCCCCCACACCAGCCGCACGAACGTCTTCGCCGCCAACGCCGACGCCGCGTAGTGCTGGTACGAGTCGACGATGTAGTTGTTGGCCGGGTTGTACAACCCACAGAAGCCAAAGCCACACGCCAACCCCGAGAAACACGGCCCCGCCCACAGCACGTGCGGGTACGACAGCCACGCGAATGGGAACAACCCGACGGGCACAAAAAAGCACGAGTACATCATGGGGATCAACCGGAGCTCGGGGGGAGGCAATTCCCCTTTGTCACGGTACACCTGGGCCTTGCGGTTGTACTGGGCGTTGAAGATGGGGGCGATGGCGGTGGCGATGATCACACCCACGCCAATAGGGATAAACATGATCCCCGTCTTCGACGCACTCCAGCCCTTGCCTTCCATGTACACCAAGGGGTAGGCAAAGAAGAACATGTAGAGCAACCCGTAGAGGACCAGCATGTACATCGTCATCAAGAACACGATCAACTCGAAGAGGAGCAAGAACGGGCGCAAAAGCGACACCTTGGCGGTCTCCTTAAACGAAAGGGGCTTCAATTCGGCGTAGGTCTTGTATCTGTTGTCTCCCGTGGCCACTCTAAGCTTTTTGGCGCGGCGTTTGAGCAATGTCGGCGAGTGGGTCTCGGGGACCACCAACACCAAGATGATATAGGCGAAGCCGGCGACGATCAAAAACGTCCAGTAGATCCATCTCCAGGTGGGGGCGTGGTCGGCAAGCAAACCACCAAAGATGGGACCGCACACGGGACCCAAAAACGGGGCGGCGGAGAAGATGGCCATGGCCACTCCTCTCTGGGGGCCGTCCCACACGTCGGCCAACGACCCGCCAATAAGACACATGGGAGCCGAGAACGCAAGCCCATCGAGAAGACGACAAATGATCATGGTGCCGATGTTTTTCGCAACCCCACAGGGGACAATAAACACGAGGGCCACCCCCAAAGTCGCGACATACACGGGTTTTCTGCCCACTTCCTCAGAGATGGGGGCGAAAACCAAGGGGCCAAAGCCGAAACCAAGGACAAACATCGTCACCGACGCCAAGATGATCACTTCTTCGGATACGCCAAAGTAGGCGGCGGGGCGCTCTAAATCACCGGTGACGATGGCGGAACCAAGGGCGACGACGAAACACGTAAGCCCCAACACCATCGTGTAGAGCCACCGCTTGGCGTTGGAGGTGTTTTTCGGGTTCTCCGGATCGTTCTCGACCCAGTCGACAATTCTCAACCCCGTTTCGGCGTCGATGGGGTACTTCCAGGGGTCGTGCTCGTTGAAGTCCGAGTTCGGGTCCGGGTGGGTTTCGACCTTGTGGACGTCGTAAGGGTTTTCCAACGGGCCCAACTGGCCGGCGTCCTCCTCCAATTGCGAAATTACTCGGTCAACACCCGGATTATTGTGTAATAACTCAGCATCGGTGGCGTCTTTAGAGTAGACCAGCGCCCTCAGCTTGGTAAGGTGCGCGGCGCTACCATGCGGGTACCCCGCCTTCTCATCGGCGTACCCCTTCTCCAGGTGGATGCTCACGTTGTCCACGGACGCGGTGTCGGTCGAGCTCATGGTGGCGATCTCGATGGGGTGGGAGCGCCGCTGCTTTTATAGTGTGGTGGTGGCGGGGCGGCGACGCAAGCAGTTGTCGGCGCCGCAAGCGGTGTCGGCGGCGCCTTCAGCCGCGCAGGGCTGCGACTACAAAGTGAAGCCGTGTGAGGCGTAGGATCTGGCAAATCTGGGGAAAGTGGTACAATAAGAGAATAAACGGAGGATTTTGCGAGTATTATTAAGTGAAGAATGGTCGCCTTGGCGGCTCGTGGGGCTGAGGCTTTGTGGTCGGGGAGCGGCGCACCTGATGGTTGCGATCTATACTTTTGTCGGCGCCGATCGCTGGGCGCTGTTTGCGCTATTTTCTCTTTGGCGCACGCGCGGCGCCGACCGATGGGAGCGCCCTACGGCGCTATAGGTGAGACCACCACAATGGCCCCAGCCCCCCGAAATAGGCCTCCACACAGAGAGTATAGAGATAAAGAAGTGCTGGTTAGTATATTTATGGCTGTTAGAATAGGCCGTCAATGTCTTTTCCCCGGGTTGTCTCCCAAATTCTCCTGGTAATTGTGCCTCTTGGCGAGACGGTGGGCGCCTCAATCGCCGAGCCGACGGGCGCGCCGACGTCCCAAGAGGCAACCCCAGAATTGCGACCACCCACACTACCCTCAATACCACCCAGAACACTCTATTCCCAATTGAAATTCCGGTTAAATTATAAACTATTGTGATCTACGACTCCTTATATATGGGTGAGCAATTTCTTTAGCCGCCGGCCTTTATTGTTGAGGCGTTTATGGGTAGAGGAGGGGTGCGGTAGTTTAAGTCGGCTCGGTGACAAAAAGGGCCCCCGCCGAGATGTAAAACCCTCACCAGCCGCGCCGAAACCAGGGCTAATAACTAAGAACAGGGCTCAAAACTAATATTTGGCAGGCGTAGTACTAGGCGTTTCTGCGGGGTTTTCCTGTCTCGCTTGCGCCGGTACTACCGCTGATTGCGGTATAATTGATGGCACGTCATTTTCTCGTGGTTTCGCCGATCTACCGGGGGCGAAGTAGAGGGGTGTCGTAATAGTAGTGCGATGACGACGGAATTGGGTGCCAGATGAAGTAACTAATTGCGCTCCAACAACTACTACTACTAATATAATCAAGAAATAGATGTGATTCTAGTGAAGATCTAATGATCGATTAAACATCGACTACCAGTGAAATAAACTGTTTGTATGACGATTGATTTATTTTAGTTTTTATTAGTCTTCAAAGACTTAAACCTTTATGGATTGATTTGTTAGTGGATTAACCACTAATTAGCTGAGAGCTATAGCTAGAGGTCTCCAACGTAATGCTGGCTCTAATGTCAAGGCTTGGACATAGCTCTATGACGTCAGTGGATAATCTGAGACAATTCCCCTTGCCGACTCCGCACTGAAGCGTGATTAAAGGGTAATTCACTCACCAGCAAACAAAAGAGACCACGAAATCACTCAGTCCAAGCCCGTGTTACACCAGCGGTGGTTACCCTTAATCACTCACTCATCCGTAAAGGCCATATTAATCACTCACCAGCCATAAATAGAAAGAAAAAGCCCTCATTTAAAGGCCGACAATCCTTGAAATTGCTGAGATAACCGACAACTGTTAATGCTGGCTGAGTAATTGGATTGAAAACCCCTCACTTTGGTCCTAGAGCTGGTCAAAACAACCGATTAATAATCCCTCACTGAAAGACTGACAGTGGACTTATCAAGACTCAGATACTCCTTCTCTCTCCTCAATTATTCCTGGGGTTGATCGAGAAAGTTTGGATTATTTTGTAGTTTCGTCAAGAACTTATCCCACCATTGGTCAAACGCTTTCATCGGCACTTTCCCCTGGGCATCGATAAAACTCCCCAAATAGTTATAGGCATTGCCCACCACTCGCTTAGCCAACTCAGCAATATCGTTATTTGACGCTTGTGTCGTCAGGCGGACTGGAGCAGCAACTACCATGCTGTTTGCAGTGGTAGTAGTAGTGGCCGGCTTATTTGCCGCTAGTTGGGCCAATTGAGCCTCGGCATTCGCGGTAGTTTCAATCTGGAAGCCAATATTGACGTCATCGCCCATCATATCGTCGTCAGCCATGCCACTATTATTAGTAACATCTCCCGTTTTGAGCTTATAGATCGCCAGCGGCTTATTCGGGTTGATACCCCCTAAAAGCCGAAACTCGCCGTTTTTCACTTGAAAGTACACCAAAGCCGTGTAGTTGGCGTCGACAAACTCGGAGTTAGGAAGCATGAACACCAGGATGTGGCCGACGTTCAGCGCCAGCGGGATCTTGATCCCCCATTGGTTCAGGTCTAGCTGCTCCGCCACCTGCATCGGCCGCCCCAGACACACCGCAGCAAACATGTTTCACGATTGGTAAGAGAATTGAGTGGGAAGGAAACGGATGGGGCCGGTGGGTTCCGTGGTTGTTGTGGTGGTGGTTGCTCGTATATATAAGGGTAAGGCGCGCGCGCGGGTGTTTGCTATAGAACCCCATGGAATTCCATGACAAAGGGGGTACAAAAACAGGAGGAACTTAACTAAAATGAGGCTACAACAAATTAGAAACGTTAGAGAAGTGTTTCTATAGCCAAGAAAGCCTCAGATTGGCCAATCTGGCCAATGTGCTCTTTGTTTGTCTGGTACCACAAACCACGTCATTTTCATTGTCATAAGCCGCCCGCGTGGCCCAATGGTTAAGGCGCTCGACTTCTAATCGAGCGATTGTGGGTTCGAATCCCGCCGTGGGTTATTTTTTAAATCGCGATGAACACTGACTTAACTAATTTTTAATTACTTGAAATCATTTTCATGAGTCTGGTTTCGTTACTATATACATTAATTAACTTCGACGACGGTTCTGGCATCGATTTTGCCGGTATCCATCGCGAGAACACCAATATTATACTGGTCAAAATCGACGATAAACTTGGCCAATTTCGCCTGTAACTTCTGTCGAAGCTCCAACTCCGCCAGTTCTCGAGCTACAGGGTCAGCAATATCGGATATCTGTTTAAAAACATTGATATCTTCGATCAATTGTCGTTCAAGACACGCCTCGGCTAACTCCTCCGCCAGTAGGTCAAATAGAGTTCCGTTACCGTTTAACCCGGATAAGTAGTAGTTGTCGACGACGAGGTAGTTGTAATATTGTTGGAGGCGTTGGCGTATGGTCGATTCCGGGTACCAGTTGCTCGGAATTAATCTCGGAATAATTCGTGAGACGCGACAAAGCAAGCGGGCTTCGTCTAATGGGATCAGGTAGGCCGTCTGCATGGCACCATTAACTTTTTCGTCGATAGTTTGGTACCGTTGACGCTTTAATTGGTCTAATTCCGCCGTATATTTGGGGAACCCCCAAAGCTTAGGTAAGAGATTAGGTAACACGCACGTCGACGGAGTTACTTCAGGTAAGAAATAACATAATAACGGCGTCAGTTCCTCAAATATAACAAATATCACGGCAAATGACGGTAATTTGTAAAAATCTTTTTTGGTGCGGCGGATGGTTTGGTAGTCCAGTCGGGAAATGGCGAATAAATTGGCTTCTGGCAGTGATGACGTCATCGATGATGACTTAGACTTCAGTTGAGATTTACTTTCGTAAATAACTGTCAGTAACTCCTCAGTGAGTTTCAGGAAGTTCGTCGGCATTTTCCGCACCTCGGCCCCTGTAGCATCGGCTTCCAAAAGGTACGTCTTCTTTTGTAAATCTGAAACAAACTTATGGTTATTCCAGACGTTGACGATTCCATTTTTGTAAAACTTAAGAAGTTGTTTGGCAAACCCAAACGTTTGTTTCAACTTAAGTTTCAAACCTGCAGCATCAGGGTTAGCCTGAGCAATCTCAGCGTTTAACTGAGCTTTTGGTTTCAACGGTGTTGGCAACGTGTGCGGGGCATTCACCGCCAAATTGACAGTTGAAACACCGGTGGTGTTCCATATCAGCTGCACCAACGGGTTCTCAGTTTTCGCCACCAGCCACGCCCCGGGCAGCAGCGGCACTTTGAAAAACCCCTGGCGAAGCATTTGGTGTGGTGAGCAGACAACGTGTGGAGCGCGCACAGTTGAAATATCGTCCTGTTTGAAAAATTGCGCTTCTGGAAAAACGCAATTTATGACATCAGGAACTCAGGAGATGAGCATATGAAACCCATGGCGTAACCACCTTGAAACAGTGTTTCAAATAAATCTTGTAAGTGATGGCGTGTTTCGACGCGTCGATGGTGCTTGAGTGGATTTTTTGTCGGAGATACGCCGCGAATATAACTGGCTCTATTGTATTCGGCATCGACGCCACAGGTTTCAAGTGTCACGAGTGTCAGGTGTCAACCGTTTCAGGTGGGGGGAAGTCTCAGATTATCAGTGTCTGACAGCGAGCGCCGAATCAGTAAGCGGCGGCATCGTTGCCAATTATAGCCTGAGATAACGTGATCAGTAGGTGACTTCGTAGGTGATACGTGGGTGTGATGGCGTCATGGCCCCGTATGCTATCTCCGAGGGGACCCTTTTTTTTGACGCAACTTTAAAACTGACATTGATACAGGGGGACGGACGAAGCCCTGCCTGATGCACGTCAAATTTACCCAACTGTAATTAGCCCTGGTTTCGCGTAATTGGTACCTAAAGCCGCGGCAAGGGCTAGGCGTGGGAGATCCTTCTGTCCGGCTACTGGTCGTACATCTCTCACACACACGTCACGTCTCAGGGCTGACGTTGCTTAGTAATCATAGCTGTCACTAGAGTAAGCAGAATAACTCCGAAACACCATTCAAAACATGGACTTGAAACCTTTGAATTTATTTAATTGCGGGGATCGTTTAATCACTCACTGATTGAGGCCTAAAGACTATGCGGCACTGGTGCCAGAAGCGGCGACAATTGTGGCGTCGCCTGTCGCGCTCAGTTTTTTTTTTTTTTTTGGCGTTTTTGGCACTGTCGGCGCTGATGGCGCTGATGGCGCCCTAAGCGCCTCGTCCCTCCGCGACGCGAGTCGCACCGCGAAATCCGATCCGAGGGAGCGGTGACAGCACCGTTTGGTTCCATGGGGCTGAGCTATCTCCACCAATAATGGTGCTAACGACTTCAAAAGACCTGCTTTGAATAGCTAGACTACGGTTTAACCGATGCCACAGTCATTTTGATCCGCTCAAGTTCGTCGTTAGTCGATTTTGAACCAAGTTGTCGATGTCGCGAATGCACGTGATCTAGCATATTCGCCGTCGCTGCCTAAGCAGAGACGGGGAAAACTGTGGTTGCCCTCTCTCGGCGCCTTTCCTCCCTCCCATTTATGTAACCAGACCACCGCAGGATTCTTCTGGTTTCTGAGACAAACGCATGGACCGGTTACCGTTTGACTTCCCCCCGGCGCGCCCGCTGCCGCCGGTGAAGCGGGCCAAGTTCCCCGGCGCCCCCGCCCCCAGTGGCTCTGCCGCCGCCGGCAACGGGGTGCCGCAACCGCTTCTACCCTTCCCGCGAGACCACCATCTGAGCGCCGCCGCTGGCGGCGCCACCGCCCTCAATTCCACCCCTACTACTGCTAACGGCGTTCACGGCAGCGCTCACGTCACTCCCGGCGGCGCTCACGGCGCACATAGCGCTCACAGCGCCCACGGCGCCGGCGACCTGGAGCTGGACGAGGACGAGCGCTTCCTCCGACTAGCACGCGAGGCGCTCGTCGCCACCGCCACCTCCGGCGACGGCACTCAGCTCGTCGACCCCACCATTCAAGATTTACTCCAGCGGCTCCAGTACGCCCTGCTGCCTCACGGCAATCCCATTCGACAAAGCAGCAAGATCGAGGCTAATTCCAACGGTCAATTAAACATTCAAGGTTTCTACCAGCTGTTCCCTAATTTATCTAATGATATCTTTATGGATATTAGCCACCCGGTTTCCTCCGGGTCGCTCCCGCTGCACCCGGGTGGTCCCGGGGCGCCCAGACCCCACTCGCGGACGCTGCTGTCAGAATATGACGATACCGACGACGGTAAGCGTTTCAGATGTGACAAGTGCTCGCAAACTTTCCGGCGGCTGAGTGATTTGAAACGCCATGAGAAACAACACTTGCTGGTGCCGGCAAACATTTGTGACTTGTGCGGCAAAGGCTTCGCCCGTAAAGACGCCCTTAAGAGGCATCGTGACACCCAGACGTGTCGGCGCAATGCCGAGAAGAAGCTCTACTTGGATAACTTGGCGTACCGATAATTATAGTAAAATGGGGCTCCCTGGTGGAGTCCTCTGAGTCTAGAGAATTTTTTATAGAGTATCAAGTCCGTAACTTGAAACACAAGTACCGTAACTTGTGAGACATTTTGTGGAACAGCTTGTGGAACAGCTTGTGAAACAACTTGTGAAACACAAGCCTCTAACTCGTTATAGAAACTACTGGTTATAGACACGGAAAGTACTTTGCTTAGTTATAGAGCTAAAGTCCAGGTTGAATAGACGCTATAAGTATCTAAGCGATAGTCGGAGACATTTATCATCTTTAATTGGGGCACTATTTAAATGTAGCTCAGTGTTTACAATGACACTCCTTCTGTATGGGACAAATGGCCAATAGTTAAGTTTCAGCAACAACGGCCCCCCCAGACCGAATGTGGTTGATGATATTTGGTTCTAGCAACATCATTTTCATCAAAGCCAAAGAGGTGAAACGTATGTTTAGTTCTTGGCTGACACACGTTGTATTACTAGCCTAATCCCAACTAGTCCTCATCACCGCGGTCAAATTGACACCCTCAGCATATGCTAGCAAATGCTCAGATATAAAAATATTCGATACTCTAATTCTACAACTAGTTCAACACAATCATCATCTCTTTTCACTTCTCCATCGTCAATCATCCAAATATAGTCGTACCCACCACCGTGACCGTTTGCGTCACCACCGCGACTCCGAAACCAAAACATTGCTACCAGCCGCACAACGACCATTCCCCAGTTGCCAATGACTCATGAAGGTCCAGGTTGCCGACTACGACGCCTACCATGTGTCTCCGACAAAACTTGATTCAGTGTACGGGGAAGCCACCCAGGCGCCCATAGTGCGGGTCTATGGCTCTGTTAGAGTCGAGCCGCCCCTGGGAACCAAGCGGCCGCTGCTGCTGCTATCGCCATTAGTGGTTCCCGCCATGGTCCACATCCATAACTACTACCCGTACTTGTATGTTGACTGCAATACCAAGGATTTAGGGTCATTAACGGAGGAGGTGTTAGCTCAGAAATGCCGGTACCTTGAGGCTCGCATGGTAGCGCTGTATCGCCACCGCCAGTATAATGATGATGATGACGATATTCCGCCAGTTAAAGGACAAAAGAAGTTTGTCCTCTCAGTGACGGTGTGTAAAGGGATGCCGATATACGGTTACCGAGCCGGTTACCGCCCCGTGTACAAAATTACGTTACTCAATGCTCAGTATAAGTTGAGAATGGCTCAGTTATTTTGGGATAACAGCGTGGTATTGGATTCTGAACTGTCTAAGGTGGCTCCATTGGTGTATGAGGCTCACATACCGTATACGGCTCAATTTATGAGCGATTATAACGTCTTTGGCTGTGGGTGGATGGATCTAGAGACCTGCTACGTGAGAGATCCCGTCATCGGCAATAACGTGTTTGACTCCAGTCAGGTTTCTCGGCTCAAACAATGGTTGTTACACGGAATTGTCCACCAGAATAACGTATTACTGTCAGAGAAATGGCCCCGTATCTCGAATATGGTGCTTGAATTTGACGTTGACGTCGCCTCGGTGCTAAATCGGAAACAGATAGAGCTTCGTAAGCTCCACCACGGGTTCACGGAGTGGCACCGGTGGCTGCCTGACCTACCAACCCCAATTTACTTGCTGTCTTTACAAGGCGTATACCGTGACTTGGAGTACCAGTGTCGCGCCCGTAATGCTCAGTTTCATAAAGATGAAACGTTAAACTCTCAGAGTTATGGTACCGGAAGTTCCACATGGCTGAACCAAGAAGAATTGGATGATTTATTGGCGTACGCGATGAAACAAAACGGCACCACTAAAACCAGTATGGACGAGTGGTTTGATACCACGTGCCAGTGGAAGGGACTTGAAGAAGTACCCACATGTTTTGCGCTGGTGGATATCGTCCCTCGATACCATAATTACCCGTTTAGAGCTCCCGTTGACTTGGTGGCGTGGAGACTACCCCACCAGCTTTGGAGCCGCCACGCCCCGATCCTGGCTTCCCAATTCCAAAGATCACAACCGTCGCAACCAAAGATTTCGGAACTACCTACTGAAGTCGACGAAGAGCTGTCTACTGAGGAAGATACTGAAAAGGACGATAATTCCGAAAACGATGATATCACGGAAAAATCAGACAACCCAACCACTTCCTCGCCTGCTACATCACCTCAACAACCACCAGATAACCTGGAAGTATTGGCCCAGCTAGAACTGTGGTCGCTTGAAGAACTGGGCGGTATTGACCAGGTGATTGCTACACAAAGAAGACAAACGTTTGCTCAATCCAATGGCGATGATCTGATTGTGGAGTCGATGCGGGGGTCGCAGCTGATGATCCTAGAGTCGCAGCCATCAGTAACTGCTGGTGGTAGTCTTCGTTTCCGTCTGGAACCTCCCAAGGAAGCTACAGACCCGGAACTCCTCAACCGGCTGTTTATTGAACTGGGAGCATTGAAAATCGATTACCCCGTGCCTCACTTTGATACTGACGCCGATCAACCGCTGAGACCGTTTATCTTCGCCAATAAACGGATTAACGTCCCTGTACTCTGTGACGCTACCATCCCTGATTCTCTGATGTCCCAGTGGATCAAACTGACGATGAAACCGAAAAAGGACCAGCTCCAGAGGTGGAGATACGTTCTAGAACCTCCAAAAGCAGAAACTGTGGCCCAGTGGTTCATGGACAAACAACTCCAGCCACTGCAGAAATGGAACTCGCAAATTGAGGCGATTACTCAAAATAAGTACCTGTACAACTCGGCTAAAGTGGTACGGCACGATGACGGTTATAACGCCATGACCTACTTCTACATTGACGTGTTGGCTACCACCGATAGCGACCGTGCTCCTGATCCTGCCACCGACTCTGTGGTGGCTATATTCTACCATTTTGATGATTCTAATGGCTCATTTGCTCATATGCCCACGTCAGGGACATTATTAGTGGGCCAAAGTTTACCTAATTGTCTGACAGTCACTCATGAGAGTGATATGGTGGCCCATTTAGTCCACTTAGTAACCAGTTTTGACCCCGATATTTTAGTCGGATACGAGGTAAATGACACTCTGTGGGGTTACTTAGTCCAGAGATTCCGTCAGTGTTATGATGCGAACCTTTTGGAGCTGTTTTCTCGTGGTACTTTCAAGTCTCAGGGTAAATGGGGTGACCGTTGGGGGTACACTCATACCTCACTGCTTGCCATCTGTGGCCGTCACGTATTAAACCTATGGAGAGTTCTACGCTCAGATATGGCTCTCACTGACTACTCATTGGAGAATGTTGCTAGGAAATTGCTCAAAGTGCTGATGCCTCGGTTCTCCAACTATAAGCTCGGGATGTGGTTTAACGGCACTGTGAGAGAACAACAATTGGTTCTCCGTTATTTCCACCGTAAGATCGAAACCGCTTTGAAGATTATCGCCGTCCAGGAGATTATTACCCGAAACGTCGAGTATCTGAGGCTTATCGGTATTGATTTTAACGCTAATTTCTACCGTGGGTCTCAATTCAAAGTGGAACTGATCCTTGGTCGTCTTTCTAAAGCTGAGAATGTGATGCTTAACAGTCCTCTGAAACACCACGTCCACGAAATGCGCTCCCTCGAGTGTATCCCTTTGATCCTTGAACCCGATCTGAACTTCTACCGCCTGCCCCTCGTGGTCCTTGACTTTCAATCATTATACCCGCTGATCATGATTGCCTATAACTACTGCTTTTCCACGATTTTGTGTCGTCTCCGCAATTTCAAGAGGAATAGTAACCGGTTGGGGTACCTCAGACACCACCCACTTCCTCCGGGGCTTATTGATTTGCTCTGGCGCCACAATGCTATCAACGTCCTGCCTAACGGGTGTGTATTTGTCAACTCAAAAGTGAGGAAACTGATCTTAGCTAAGATGTTAGGGGAATTGATGAATACTCGTCAGGCAGTGAAGAAAGTGATGAAGATGTTTGGCGGCGAATCTGAGCTCTGTAAGCTTTACCACGCTCGTCAATTAGCGTTGAAATTGATTGCTAACGTCACCTATGGATATGCGCTGGCGTCATTCTCTGGTCGAATGCCTAATCTGGATGTGGCTGATGCCATTGTCGCCACGGGGAGAGAGATTTTACTGAAACTGATTAGGATGATTGAAGCAGCAGAGTTTGGGGCTAAAGTCGTATACGGTGACACTGACTCCCTTTTCGTTTATTTCCCTGGAGCGCTGAGAGAGGACGCTTTCAACTATGGTCAAATCTTGGCTGACCGAGTCACCGGAGAGTTTCCCGATCCGATTTTCCTCAAATTTGAAAAAGTGTACCATCCGTGTGTCTTATTAGCTAAAAAACGGTACGTGGGATACAGTTATGAACTGCCCCACCAAGGTACTCCCAAATTCGATGCTAAGGGGATTGAAACGGTGAGACGTGACGGTATCCCCGCTCAACAAAAGATGGTGGAACAACTGCTTCGTCTCTTATTTGACCTGGCTAACCTTTCAGCAGTAAAGAAATACGTCACTGACCAGTTCCGTAAGGTGCTTCTGTCGAAAGTGCCCATCCCTGATTTCTGTTTTGCCAAAGAAGTAAGGTGGGGAACCTATAAAGATGAACGGTATTTGCCTCCTGGAGCTATTGTCGCTCAACAAATGGTGGACGATGACCCGAGAAAGGAACCTCAGTACCGCGAGAGAGTGCCCTATTTGATCTACCATGACGTCACCAAACCCAAATTGAGGGACCGGGCGATCTCCCCAGAGAAATTCATGGCGCTGTTGGCGCTGCCGCTGCCGCTATACTTGGATTACGAGTACTATATTACGAAAGTACTCCTGCCTCCGTTGGAGAGAATATTCAATTTGATGGGAGCAAACGTCAAGGATTGGTATAATACACTTCCCAAGAGGCACTTACCCCATGCTAAAGCGCTGGCGTTGGCTCAATTCGTTAAACGCCACCAATGTGCTGTTTGTCAAGGAGCTATTGACGGCGATCTGGATCATTTCTGCCAGCGATGCTTGAGGAACGAGGCGCTACTGGTGGCTAAACTCATGGGCGAAGTGAAGTACCGCGAGCGGAAACTGGTATTGTTGCGGCTGGGGTGTAAGATCTGTGTTGGCGCCAATACCGATGCCGGTACCGATGAAGTATCGGTGGTGGACCAGTGCCTGAATCAACTGTGTGATGTGTACTATAAGAAAGCAGTGGCCGACCACCAGTATGAGCGTATCGCCGATGCCACAGTGCCGATGTTAAAGGAACTCGAGTGGTGATTCAACGAACATATATACTCAGATTTAATGACTAATGATACAAGTACTAATTCCACTCGACACGAGATTTAATTAGAACAAGTTGATCTACTTCCCTAAAAAAAGTTGTTCTTAGCAGCGTAGTTTCGTAAATGCCGAAACTTTCGCATTTACACGTAAATTGTGGAGAAATTCCCTTGACACTCTCTTGACGTGAAACACCTATCAGACCACTCAATGAAACACCGTTCTTGCTCCGGTGGGTTCACTACGCTACTGTGAACACCGCTCTTTAGCCATCACTACACTTAGTCGCACCATACTTCGTCGACCATGTCCCTTAGAACAACACCGAAAACAAGCCTAGACCACTGCTGCGTTAGAGTCACAATCTGCCTACTATGCCCACCACTTGCCCTCATTATCCTCCCATTTCCTCACCATCGGCACTCACCATCTCAACCCAAAATTTCCTCTTCCCACCCACTCCTTCAAACCAGAAGAACCACCCCAAAAATCAAATTATAACATCAATAATCAATTCCAATGTTCCCCACGCTCTTTCCCGTGATAAAACCTTATTCGTAGTCTCCCTCTCGCTTTCCCTCTCGCTCGCCCACCTCGCGCACCCGCGGTCGCCGCATTTTTTCGCACTGGCCAATTGCGCCGTTCTTAATACCAACCGCCTTTTAACCACCAAGAATAACCATGGCCGGCTCTGCTCCCAAGTACGTCCGTCACGGTGCCGTTGCTCCCCCCCACGTCCCCGCCCACTTGCGCTGGGGCGCCAAGATCTTGGGCGCCACCATGTGGTTCTGGATCTTCTACCGCGTCAAACAGGACGGGCCCGTCATGTTCGGGATGAAGTTGCCCTTTGAAAACCTGCATTAACTTATCGGGAGTATATACTGACTATACTGAATATACACTCGGAGGCACCGGGCCTCGTATCCTATATTTCTCTGAATTATCGCTAAATTATCGCTGTCTCTGTGTCTCTCAATTATCTGTGAAATGGGTGCGCCTAACGCCGACCGGGGCGTCTCCCTCTGTGGCGAGTGGTCCCCCTACCACGAATACTACTAGCACCAGTACTATTGGCTTCATTATTCGGTGGTTGCTTTTCCTTTTTGAATCGGAAATTGAAACCCTGGGAGGTACAGTGTTCAAGGACAAAATTATGATTTTCATCCAAAAGGAAACCCATCACATTTAAATGGGTGCGGTCCTCCAGCACCACGTCACACACGTTGAAGTGCCATAAGTTATAGTAGGCCTGAAAGTAGTAGTCATTAATCCGTTTGAGGACGGGTTTCGCCGAGCTCTCATCATTGTTGGTAGTGGTGGAAGTATCAGCAGATGGTGGAGCCACCCGCAACGGGACGATCTCGTCGACGGTATCGGCGATCAGCACGGGGATCTTATCAAATAACAGCAACGCCAATTCGATGATGGGGAGGATGGACGTGTCCAAATGGCGACACACGTCGTGGCGGACAATCGCCCATAATTCCCCTAAAATCATTCGAAGCCGGGAGAATTTCAGGCGGTAGTGGTCTAGATAGCCAGCAGAACCACCCATCAGATCAACAAAGCTCATCCCGTTACCAGAGACGGGGTAGCGGAAGTGGAGGCCTTGGCTTATGGTGAAATCAGCGTGAGTAATGATGGCAAGATGTTCAAGTAACGGGGTTTTGATCACCGGAGCATGCGCCATGAATATGTTAATCGTCGATGAGACAGCACCATCATTATCAGCACTATTAGTGGTATCGTCCTCGCTGGCACAACCATCGGTAGTGGTAGTGGCCTCCATTGCTTTGACGTATAGCTCAGCAATTTGGACCATAGTGACCCATAGTTCGCCAACTTTTCCACACACTGGGGCCACCACATCAGCATTATGATCATCGTTATCATCCTTAGCTATGGGGCCATGGTCAAATAAGGAATGGAGCTTAACTGTCCCTCCAAGGCCATAGAGCTTTACCAGCAGTCCCAGCACTTCATCGTCAAGCACGTACACGTGATTGTGATCAACAATAAACAAATTGGGTACATTCAACTGCCCATTAAGTAACTGAGTCACCACGGAAGGGTGGTCCAAAGGACCGTATACCGAGTACACCGGACACGGCAATTGCTTATGGGTACCACCAATATAGTCGTCGTAGTGGCTTAAACGGTGTCCGTCAAGCGCCAGCGCCATCGCCTCGATCTCGTCGTTATTTTCGCCAGTACCACTACTGGTAGTGCCACCACTGATTTGCAGCAAATTGTTGACCGATTCGACCACGGATGGCGACAAAACACTCAGGAACGCCACCACTTGGCGGGCATAGCTCACATCGTTCAGGTCGACCACTAAAGCCGTCAGCCAGAGGCCCAAGTTGCCCGTGTGGACGATGGCATCGGGGGGTCGCCCCAAGCGGAGCTCGCGGGCGTACGCGTCGGCAAACGCCTGCCAGTTGCCCTGGATGTCCAGCACCGCAAGTAAGCGCATCGCCGGATCGATCGAGCGAGAAGGGGTGGTCCCGGTGTTGGTTAGGGGCAGGACGCTTTTGTAGCCGAAGCGATAACGCGACGACACCACGACAGCCTACAATGACCCGACGAGACCCGACGAGACCCAGCGGGTCGAGTCAAAACAAACAGATTTAAAATGATTTCAAATGACATTGATGATGTGGTCAATTCTGTTATGCTTTCTAGTAGTAAGGATGATCTTTCTGTATCGTCCATAGTTGTCACTGTTTGACAGCTAAGCCACTTTGTGGTCGTTTCGAGTACTACTGCGACTTGTAGTTTAAAATTTACTAGTAAATTCTTCGAGGAAATCCTTAAATACTTCTACTATTCGTCGTAGCTACTGTAGCTGGTGTGAATCTTGCCGGCATCAACAGGTGCCGCAGGCGATGCAATGCACATCGCGAAGTAGACCACTGGCTATATACCCTTTCGGCATTAAGGTTCTCCACCCCGACGAAGAAGCGTGACTAAGTAAACAAGCTGACATAGTATCCATTGGAATTTATCCGCCTGGGCACTTTAGGCTGGTGCTGGCGGTTTGGAGTATTATTAGTTCGTCTGTCTTAGTGCCGTAAATTACGGTGGCGAGCCCCGGGGCCCGTGCGGTGTGCCCCTCCCCCAACAGAATTTTCCGTCGCGGGGTTTGACTAATCGATTACACCGTAGAACACTACGGTAATGGTTATCGTGTGTAGTGTTTTTTCGCACCTGCATATAACTCTTTGCGAAGTGCGAAGGTCTCACCACTACTCAACTACCAACGCCACCGCCACTGACTCCGACTCCACTCACTCCTCCACATCCTCCCTCACATCATGGCGTTGTCGAAACTCACGCTGGAGTTGTACTCCCTCTTTGACTCGGAGCAGTACGACAAGTGCAAGCAGCTCCTCCCCCCCATCCAGGTGGAATTGATCAAAAACAATCTCTTCACGCCGACCGCCGCCGCCACCGCCACCGCCGACGGCATCAACGATCTCACCATTTCCCAACGGATCTTTGAAATTGGCGCCCTCCTGCTGTTGCTCGCCCACGACTACCCCAATTTCGAGAACTTCTTCGCCCAATTACGTCCGTTCTACGCCGACAGCAAATTACACCCTAACCGCGAGATCGACACCGATACCACCAAGAATATCCTGTTGTACTTGTTGTATCTTTTGCTGCAAGGGTGGACGCTGAAGTTCCACGTTGAACTCGAAGTATTATACAATCTGGACCGCTACGACGTCGACCACGACCGCTACCTCCAGTTCCCCATTGCCCTTGAACGTCACCTTATGGAGGGCAACTACATTAAGATCTGGAAGTTGCTTAAACTGGAAAATGAAGTGCCCTGTAAGGAATACACCCATTTCATTGATACTTTGACCCACGCGCTTAGGCTTGAGATCTCGAAGCTGATTGAGAAGACCTACGACACCATCCCCATCAACAACTGCAAAAACATGTTATACTTCCCTCAGGAGATGTCCGACGCTCAGTTTGAGCTGGTTGTTCGTGAGGAATTGGGCCACACCTGGCGGTTTGACGGGGCCAATATTATCATTGATAGAGACACCACCGCCACCACTGGCCCTGAACTGGAGCTGATTATCAATAACGTGTTGAACTACGCCGACCAAATCGAGTCGATTGTCTAAAACTGAGGAATTTAATGATAACCACGTCTATAGAATAAACGACCCCATCAGCTTTTGAAGATGTAGTGACAGGGCTTCGTAACCCAACACGCGCCCGCGCGCGCGTTGAAAAAAGGCTACGCTCAGTTAAACCCTAACCCTTAGCATACGCAAGAAACTGTGGGCAACGACGGGCGTATGCTACGAGGTGAAACATAGCGTCAAACTATAAAACAAGGGGAGTGCAAAAAGAAACGGGGCGAGCTGGGAATCGAACCCAGGGCCACACCCACCCTAAGGGTGTATCATACCACTAGACCACACGCCCGCGATATTTTACCACGAATTTTAGGTGATGGTACCAAGCCAGAAAACAAAAAAATTGACCTCGTAAAACCTAGCTTAATATCATCAAAATCACAACTTTCCAGCAAACTAATTTTTTTTAGATTTTTGTTAGTAGAGTGCCATTTTTGTTATCTCACTACACTATAGTCGCGCACTTCGTTTGGCTAACTATGGATAATCCACCGCCGGCGTATGCTCCCACGGGCGCCACCAGCTACCAACCGACTCAGCACCGAGCCAATGCCAACCGGGAACTTACCAAAAACGATATTGTCGGTTCAAATGTCGCTGTCTACGATACCTTAGCGGAAATCTACCTGATCCTCCCTACTTTGGAAGTAGTGGAAAAGGCCTTCCTCAAAGACTTTATCACCGATAAGGAGAAGTATACCGCTACCTGCACCCGTCTAATTAACCAGTACCAGCTTTTGGTGAAGAATTTGCTTGAAGACCATCGCCAACCAGTCCAACAAATCTTGGGAGTGGATGTCACTGAAGACACGTTGCTTGAGCGATTATCCACCAAATTCCGCCTCGAGTGTCCCTTAGCGGTTAAGAGATTAACTGTGGGGTATCCTGCTACGATACAAAGCCTCCATTTGCTGTCTACTCAGACCAGTACTCCCGAGCCAGGGGCCACTCTGTCATCGGCTACGGGGACGACAAACCAACGACTTATCGCTCAAGTGACGGGCAATTTCATCACCGTGATGGATGCAATCAAACTCAACTACAATACCAAACAGCAGCTTCATCCGTTACTCTCAGAACTTGTGATTAACTTGAATGAGCTTCCTGGCGACGAGGAGAGAGGGGTAGAGTTCCCCGGGAAACTGAAACTTGTTAATTGGTTGATTAAGCTTAATAACCTTGAGGGATCGTTGGAAGCTGATGATCTAGACGCGTTTTTGGCCGACGTCGACACCGCCTACAAGGGGTTCTTTGAAACGTTAAAATAGTTTTACTCGGTTGTCTAAAGACATTACGGGCGGATGACGATGTCGCTGGTCTGGGTGATGTATTTGACGCCCTTATAAGGCTTCACCAGGTCGGGCATGCCTTTATGCGACACCATGCGGATGCTATCGATTTTAAGCCCCAGCGGCACACACCCCTTGTGCTGGTAGCTGATTCTGAGGTATAACGGTTCTCCCCGAGCGTCAGTCTCAGTGTTGATTACTGCCGCCTGAAGGAGAGGCAACGCTGTGGGTTTAACGTCGCGTAACGTCCACTCTCCCTTACCGTTACCTTTATAGCTGAAGTCGCCAGAAGTGCACCGCAGCGGCTTAATTGCCATTTCCTCGGCACAGATGATATCGATGGTGATGGTATCGACCTTAGTGAGTCCTGGAGTGGGCTTTATTTGAAGTTTCAACTCAAATTCGCCAGTGGCCGTCAGTGGCTGGTAATTGATGTCTATCGCTCCCAGTTCGTGATTGGGGGCTTCCAATTGGTACTCCATAAGCGTCAGCTGGCCGTCGGGAGGGACAAAGTTAAGCACACACTGTTTATCCCATTTGGCAATGTCAATACACGGGTGGAAGCTGGGTAGCTGGATACGCAGGGCCACATGGTTAAACAGCATTTCTAGCCTCGGTTCCCCCGTCAAATGACTGACAAACGCTATCAGACCATCAATATGAGCCAGTACGGGGTAAAGTCGTGCCATACTCAGCAGCAGCAGCAGCAGCAGCAGTAGCGGAGGTACCACCTGGTACATCGCCGCGATCAGCTCAATCACATCAATATACATCTCGTTATGCGTATAGCGCACGTTAGAACGTCTCCACGGATACGCCAGCACCTGGTTCGGCTGCAGTGGTGGCGGGGGCGACTGGTTAAACGCTAGTTTCGCCGCCGGGTGCTCGGCGACAATCGACAGCGATGTACTCAACAATTTCAGCAAAAACAGCTCGTAGGGAATCAAATCACGCAATTGGTTAGCGTCAGTGGTAAGCGGGTAACCCGTTTGGTCGATCATCTCCGCCATGATCAGCGTCAACGTGTCGGAATTCGCCTCGATCTTTGTCGGCAGTACGGGGGTACCGAAATACTCCTTAATTGCCGTGAATAGACGATGAATAAACACGAACGGGATCATGGGATTGACCGGGTCCAGTTTCAGCCCGCAAAGCACGGAAATGGTGATGCTGGCGAACCGTTCAAACGCCACATAGTAGTCGTGGTTAATCGCGATTATCGGCGGTTCCGACTCGGGGTGGGCAAGCACCATCAGCTTGATCAGAGTATAGCCAGGCAGACTGAGCCGCTGCTGGTACTCGAACACCAACGAGGCGTTGGTGTCGGAGATGTAGACGGCTTCGATCATGGCGTCGCCGGTGTGCTCACGTGAGGCGAAAGTAAGTGCGATAACAATGGTACCACTAACTAAAGGTAAACTTGAAAGGGGATATAGAGAGAGATGTTTAGGAAGAAGCTGAGTGATTTATTGTTTGATGCTTGATTGAAGCTGGGGAGTGTTTGAGATTGGAAGAGGTGTCTTGGTATGGAGGAAGATGAGAGAGGTTGAGTGGCAACTATGGAAAACGATCGCTAGAGAATGTCATGTGTGAAACGATGAGCCATGATCCAATGGAGTCCAATAATCGATCAGAATTTGTTTCAAAGTCCCCCTAGTGAGGTCAGATGATCTTTAGTACGGTTCCTCGCCGGGTTTGCCCCACTATAAAAACACGTGCTAATATTTCCACCACTACTCATCTTGAGGAAGCTCTAGCACTTGAAATAACAGTTGTCATTGCAACAGAAAAGGATGACGTTTCCTTTCTAACTCTCCTGAATCTAGGGTCCTTTTTCGAGACTTAAGGTTGCATTACTACCCTACGATGGTTTGCGGGCGTGGACACCTACGCCCAATTAAAGGTATTCAACCTACTCGATGTTCGTTCGGTGTGTCACTTTTACGCTGCCTGTAGCGTCAATTCCACCTACAATGGTACCCGAGAACACACCCGAGAGTACCTCGAAAAGCTCCCAGTGGAAGTAACGTTGGAACACATTCCTAAGACGGATACCACCAAGATCGACTTCTAGACGTTGGCATTGATGCCGTTGTGGTGCAACATTGTTGTCAAGTGCTCCGCCGGTCTCTGGGACCTTGCCTTTTGGTATCTTCGCCAAGTGGAGTTTAACCTGTTATCGTCAACCATCTATAACGAAGCTGAGGAGGACCACTTCATCTATAAATACGCCCGTCGTGATTTTCCTGCTGACAAAAACATCGTTGCTTTACACTTTAAACGGGTGGATGTTGACGCTAACTTGATCCCCATGACCGCCGAGGAACTCTCACTTTGTGAGTGTGGGATTCACAACCCACCCGGTCTTTTGCGCTTAACCAATCTTACCCGCTTCACCAATGACGGGTGTCGTGGTTTTAATGACAACTTGCTACCCTGGGTTCAGCGTGTGACGGCCACCATTGACACAGTACCACCCGATTTCCACTGTGATTTGTTGGAGGAGATCACCATCACGAAACCATTGATCGAAGGGTTCAATTTGAGGGACTTCCAGTGTCCTCATCTTCAACGGGTTATTTTCGTTGACTCCAATGACGTCGGTGTTGTCCACATTAATGATGTCTTCACCTGCTTCCAATTGTCACAATTGAGGGTATCAAAGGCAACCCACATTGTTACCCCCCCAACTTCGCTCAATTACCAGAAGCTGAAGTTCTCCACATTCAGTATAATCATCGGTTTACAGAAGACACTGCGTTGCCTCCTAATTTGATCGAGTTGGAAATAAAATCGTCGTTTGCCATCAGTGGAGGTTCCCCCCCAGCTTAAGACGTTTAGGTTCATTGCTGGGTGATGTTTCTATAGCGTCACCCACACTCAGCCTCTTGCTGGTCAATGCGGCACAAGTAACAATCGAATCTCGTCAAGTTGTCATTGGGAAATGTCCATACCGTCCATCTTTCCGTGGTTCCGAACTTAGTCAAGATGAAAGTGGAGGGCTCTCGTGCAAGCCATATCCCCCTCCTGATGGCCCCCCACCTTCGGCATTTGAAGATGCCGAGTACAAGAAATAACTATATTCGTTTACCAAACAAGCATTTTGAGCACGTTGCCTTGGGAAATGTAAATTTGGGAAAGGTTTGCTTGACGGCGGACACCATGGTCCTTAGCTATTGTGCTTTGACTAAAACTTCATCAACCACTGCGAAACTAATTTCAGTCCCATCGTACCCTCGTCAACAGCGATGGTGTGTTTTGTCAGGAGTTGAAGTGTGATACCATGACAGATTTGCCTCCCATGGTAGAAGCGTTGACCCTTCATCATTTACCTAGCACTAAGGGCAATATCTTTGGGAAATGTAACAACCTTGAATCGCTTCACAAGCAAGGGCTCACGGTGCCGGCGACGATGAGAAGACTCAGGTTTGTCTCGCTCCTGTTATTCAAGAGATCCACCATCAAATTTGACGACGAACGCCACCTCGACTATATCGAGTGTGGCGTGATTCCTCGCTCGTGTAAGCAAGTGGGCCCCTACGTGTGGTGTCGGCGAGAAATACGTGAAAACTAGTAAAGTAATTAGCGTAGTATTACAGTGAATGTATCAAAGGGTATATAATGCAAGCGTCTATAACGTGCTACTTTTTGACGACCCCCCAGCGGTCATAGCTGTAGAGGCCCAACGAGGTGAGCACCAACCCGAGCACCTGGTGGCGGTGGAAGTGTTTCAGCTCCCACACAAACGCCACGAGGATGATGATGATCCGCTTCATGATGTTGGCAATGGAGTAGTTGATGGGCAGCATGAGCCCCAAGATCTGGAATGCAAGAAACAGCTGGACAAAGTGGGAGAACCCGTTGACCACCATGAGGAAGAATACATAGGGGGTAAGGTACCCCAACGACCACGTCGCCAGCCGCCACTCCACCATGAGGTATATCGGTAACGTGAAGCAGAAGCCGATGGCCAGGCAGAAGAAAAGGATCGTCAACTTGTCGACTTTGCCGTCGCCTCTCGTCTTCAGCAGCTGCGGCAATGTTGTCGATTGATCGACGGTTAAGCGTTTTTTGGAGAAGATATTCTGCAGGACAAAGATGAGCATCAGCGTGAACGCGTAGATGAGGCCGGTGACGTAGCCGGGGGCGTCGTTGGTGCCGGCTTTGGGCTTATAGCACGTGATCATGATCCCCAAGACCAAAGGAGTAAGAGTAACGTAAGTGACTCGAGGGTATTCCCGTTGGAAAATCACGCGGTAAGCGACCACCGTGGCTAATGGCAGCAACGCTTTGACGGTGTGGACAAGCGATACCGGCACTAACGACGTGGCTTTGTGCAGGGTCAAATGGCCGACAAACTGGAAGCACCCCATGGGTAATGTCGTCAATAATACAAGGCGAGTCGGCTGGACAAATTTGTATACCTTAGGAGTCTCTTTTGGGAACGTCCCCAACGGGAAATGGCCGCGCAAGTGAGGCACGGCTCCCAACACTGCCACGAACACAAGGCAATAAACGCAGTTAAACACAAACTGGGCCTCTGTTAACGTGACGGGATAGGGGAACTGGGTCAAAATCAGCTTGGTGCTGTTGCTCAGGATGATCAGAGTGAAGTACCACCCGGAACAGAGACACACGATGCGCCAGTTGATCGGGGGAAGCCACAGCGCTTTGGGCGGGGCTCGAGCCACTCTAGCCGCTTGGGCCATGCTGTCAGGCAGCAGTTCTGCCAGTCTCGGCGGCGTGAGCGGGAACGGCGTGTGGGCAAACCCTTGCCGATGAGGGAACGGCTTGTGGACCTTGGTCGCCCCCATGTGGGCGAGATTGGTCAGCGAGCTGTTGGGGTTGATCAGCGTCAACAACGGTGGTCGCTGCGGCGGGACGATCATCGTATATAAGGGTGTAGGAAGGGTGGTTTAACCGCTGTCGGGGTAGCGAGTTTGGTGTTGCGCGCCCCGGGCAGCAAAAGCAACGGGAGATAGTGGGGCGAGATAAGCCCGAGGAACAGGGCAGAAAGGGGGAGAAATGAGGGTGTTTGGGGTTTAGGGTAATAAGAAGGGTGGTTTCGATAGACTTAGGGGTCATTTTGATAATTTTTGGAGGGGGAAGGGTGGAAATTTTCGGTAGTGTTCATCGGTGGGTGATGGGCCGTGGACGGCGCCCCGGTGGGGTCAACGTGTGTTTTCCGAGCGACGCCGTCGTGTGTCCACCGAGAACCGTGGCAGACACTATGGGGGAAAAAGGCTCAAAAATAGGAGACTGAAGAGCGTGCCCTGTCCTGCTTCTACTTAATAGTGTAAGTGTTTTAGGAAATGGCGAGCTATGAACGGCTTTACTCGCTGGTCTTCGCTGCCATCGCAGCACGTGTGAGACACTGTTTGTTTTCGCGCCATTAACGAGACGAGTTATAAATAAACATACGCTGGCAACAAACGAACGAAAACGAGGAAACGAGGGAACACGGGGTCTCAAAGGTTTAGCGGGGAAAGTAGTAGTCTAGTCGATGCGAGGTTGTATCATATTAGTGCTACTACCGATGCGTATAGGGTTAGATCTCTGGGGGGCACGGGGGCGGTGGAAAGTGTCGGCAAAAAGCATTTCGACGCTACGGGAGTAATGACCATCGGAGTTAGCGGAAGCAAACTACCAAGAAAATGGACTAGGCTCTTGGCACATAAGTTTCATTTTGACACTACTAAATCTCGATAAATGATGGTAACCTCGATAGCATGCTCTGCATGGATTTTGATAGATATGACACAAACACGAGGAGACGCCCTGTATAATAGAAATGGCAGTAAATCAAACACTATCTTCATCAGCAACTGTTTTGGAATTGTCCATGAGTTCAGGGTGGAAGGACAGGTGGCATCTGATGCTCAGCCACGCCGGCTCGTGAGTGAAAGTCACCTGGTCCCGACTTTTAAAGGCAGCCGTACACTCAAAGTACTCGAGCCGACGCTCAGTTTCAATGTGCAACCGCTGGACCGAGGTGCCCACATCCTTCAAGCGGAATTGTCTCACCGTGGACGGCAACTTGATCGTCTCGGGACCATTAAGGAAGTGGCGCACCCCTCCAGTGATGTATAAGTAACGAAGGTTTTCACACTGGGTGAGCTCATACGCCGCTTTCCCCACGGGTTTCAACCGTACGCTGCATTGATAGTGGCAGGTCAACTTCTCCATTTTGGTGGGGATGTAGTCAATGGCGCCACACTCTAGTTCCCGACACGTGATCCCCCGAACCAGAGCCATGTCACACTTGGCACCTTTGATTATGGTGGCGCTGATCTCAACATTTTCGGGCACTCGGCATCTCACGAGACTCACCACGTCGGCGTCGATCTTGGCTAGTGGGGGGAGGTCAGTGATCTCGAGCAGAACGTGGTCGGCGACAAGCGACAACTGCGGCACGCACAGATTTTTCATACTAACGCTCTTCAAGCGCTGAGGATTCAGTAATGGTTGCCTTTCCCAACCCAGTAACTCAAGATGAGCAAGACTCGGGAAACCGCCGGGCAAGTCTAGCGTACCTGGTCCAACATCGCTTAGCCGCAGGACATTCGGCAGCCAGCACCTATCGAGCATCTTAACGTTCTTCACATGAGGTTTGGTGAGCTTGCTGCATATGAATACAACGTACGCGCAATTCTCCAAGTGGAGCGATTGGAGGGTCGACGAATAGAAGTCCATCATTGGGTGGTCTGACGAGTTGAGGTCTTCGGGGCCAACATAACAAAACTTCTTAAGCTGAGGCGGGAGTCCCTTGACGTCGTGGTCGGTCCAGACCTTCCATTGCTCCAACCGTGGTGGTAAATGGAACTCTCGGGTGACATTCTCGCCGATTCGGCAATGTAGTACCTTCAAACTCTTGAGTAGATCCATGTCGCTCACCAGCCAGAAGAGGGCCACGCAACGACTCGAGATTTGCGAGTTGTGCATTGCTGAAATCTTCAGCGACGTCTCGACTAAAGTCTTCCATCAGTGTCGGCCAGCTGTCGATGGTATTGTAAAATCCATAAGATGATGAGATGAGCACCGGCTCAACCGACTTTAGATTGGGGCACGAGAGCCATTTGATCATAAATCTTTCCGGAAACCTTTTGGTTCGCACATCAAACTTAGGCGACCCATGAGCCGATTCAATCTGAGTCCACGGTAACCGAAACACTTGACCGCGAGCGTGTCTTAGGTTGGGAAGGTCCGACGCATCGAGGGAAGCGCCAAATCCGCTCGACTGGCTGACATCAATGGTCAGGTAGGGCAATCGTGGCGAGCGTTGGAATTTGCAACGATGGGCCTCAAAGTGGGTGAGCTTATTAAACTCCTAAAGTTTCAGCGACGACGAATACAGGAGACCCTCGAGGCGGAGTTTGCGTAACGTTTTCGGTATGTCTTTTTTGAAGTTTACCACGACTTTGTTGAGGGAAAGTTCGGCTAACTTTGTGCCCAAGAAGCGGAGGTCAGCGCAATACTTGCCACAATACAGACTATCGCTGATGGATAGCCTCACCAGGATGAATTGCGCTCGTTCAAGGTGCCACAACGTCAATTGCAAGAACTTAGTAGTGACGTTGACCACAATATTACAGGCAGGGAGCATCGCCAACGTGTAGTCAATTTTGGTGGGGTCGCCTTCGACAACAACATCCGCCGTTACTTCCACCTCAGCGGTGGCAAGCCAGTATTCAATCTCCTCAGCGAACGCCCTCCATTCAAACGCAAGGTAGAGCCGACACACCGACGGCGTGTCCAACAACGAGAAGATGTTCTGGCCAACTTTGAATGGAAATCTCTCCAACCAACTCTCAGGCATTATATCAATCAAACTACTTTTAAGGAACATCAATAGGGATTTTGGCTAGGTGAAGAGAGTTCTTTGAAAGGGAGTGTTGTTGAAGTTTTGATCACGATCAACCGGTATTTAGACGGAATGTGCACGTTCCCCTCTTTCGCATCGACGCCTCCACCGTGGACTAGACGAAACTGGAGGTAAAAGCGCCACTGAATCAAAGCAATTGGCGTTAAATTGAGTTTGTTGTAAGTTCCGAATTATCCCACCTCCATAATTCATCAATTGAGCGACATCCATGAGGATATATCGTCGCAGGCTACAACCATTGTGACGCGAGTATAGCTCAGCATACCCCTTAGCACCACCTGACAATAATCTCTAGCACCTTCACAATTTCGTCAACCTTTCGCTCCACATCTTCGCCCTTGTATCACCACCTTTGGTCTCATCATCACCAGTAACCCCAAGATCAATTTACATAGCTCTCCATTGTCATCTGGGCCAATCAATGGTCGCATGCTTGTCGTCGTCAAGACATCAAGGGAATAATCGCCTTGACAATGGGGCACCGCCGGTAACACTCACAACCGGCTTCTCTTCTTTAAGGCTGACAGTTGTAAAGGTAGCGAGCTCCATGCTGATTCATCACTAGCTTGCTTCGATTAGGTTGATAGTTAGCGCTGCTCCATGGTAGCCATTGTTCTCTCAGCCATTGTTGTTGTTCGCAGTTGGCTCTGCTCTTGTGCGCGGCTTCTGGCTCCCTAGTTACTACGCGTACATCACGCTAGAAAGAACATTATGTCTGTCTTTTGGAATGGTGCTGTAGCGTTTTTCCTTTACCATTACCGGTCCTAATCATTCTGATAGCCACTTGTTTCGAATTCAACTTCTGACACTACAGCGAAGCTCTCCCATTGAACCAAGATGATCTGCTACTTCACCAATATGATAACTGTAACAAAAATATTGCCAAAACCAGAAAAGCAAATGACGACTAGTTCTAGCATTTCTTACCGACTTTACCATTCACGACTGAAGTCACAAACGGGAAGTCCCCACTGACTACTCAGACCATTGAATAAATTATCTATTATCATCTATACGCCTTTATGCATGAGCCAGGACCGGCCTAGGCCCACACTTGGAGCTGGTCGAAAAACTCGACGTGATGACTATGGTCGATAGCCGCCACTTGGGCCCGTAAATCGTCCATCAACGCTGGATGGCCACACCCGACAAACGCGATACTTCCCTGGGTAGCGGCGACTTCTTCCGCCACCACCATCGCCATTGAGGGTCTTCCTTTTTCCACTTTCACCAGCAGAGGTAAGGGAGTAGTCTCATCAGTAGTAGAGCCAGTGGTGGAGTATAGTTCGACATCGACGGTATCGGGTAGCTGGCCCAAGTACCGGTGGAACCAGCGGTGAGAGCGTGATACCCATAAGAGCCGAGTGGGAGTCTTAGACTTGATGGTGGTATACGTTTGGAGCTCGTTAAACAAGCCAGGGATACCGTGGCCACCAGCAATGAATACCACTCGATCAAACTCGAGGTAAGGGGCTGGTTCACCATAGGGACCATCAACAAGTACGGTAATCTCCTCCGTGGGGATTATGGCATTCACAAGCCTGTTGGCAATCTTAGCTGTGAGACCCTGTTTCACTTTAATGAACACCACCATTGTTTGTTCGGCTTCATCCAAGATATACGTAAACGGGTGTGATTGCCATACTTCTTTAGCTGAAGTGAAAAAGTGGAGGAACACATGGCCACCCGCGGGGACTGACTTTGCACAAGGGATCACCACTTTTAACGTATCGTCAATGAGGGTTACTTGAGCCCTTTTAGCTCCGAAAGCCATTATCCGTACCACTCGAGCCACTCGATCGAGTACCCATACTCCGAGAGCATACCAGATGTAGGACAGCCACCCCAAGTGCCATAAGTGGACCACCAGGGCACCCACCATCACTACTGAAGCCGTGATGTGGATAGCAAGGAACGCTTCATACCACCGTCTTCTTAATGCCATAAACGCTTGCACCACCAACACGAGCATGGCTAACAAACCCAATATGCCCCCGATCATATACGTTTGGCGGTACTCAGTCCACGCTCTCCCCCTAAAGTAGACGGTGAAAGCAATGGCGTGAACCACTAATTGAGCCACTACTACCCTCAGAATCCACCGGTGGTAGCACACAAATGTCGCATAGTTGACTCCCGTGAGCCATTGGAGAAGATTGTTCCTACCAGCAAATGCCACTAATAATGGGATAAGAAACGTCGCTAGCACTCCACACCGGTCACCAATCATATGAGCGAGAGCTTGAGTCCTGGGGTATGGTAGTTGGGCAAATATCTTATCATCTAAAGGGTAGGAAATGTCCACCACTGAGAGGTACACCGTCAAGGCCATAAAACCCATAATCACTACCAGTTGAACTCTTGACGGGATCAAACCGGTGTCAATACCATTTATCGTCACTGCCGTATCCTTATGGAATCGTCCAAGAGCCGGAGTAGTGAGATATGTCCTGATTCCACCCCAATTATATTTAGGGATAATCGGACGTAACCAAAGCACCAAAGCATGAATAAGGAATACCACGCCCCAGTAGCCCACGAGGGCCACGGCGAGACGTACCAGCGTGTTGTAATTGCCCAAATAGTTGCGGAAAGAAGCGACATACTCCCCCGTGGCATTGGTAGTTAAATTAACCGGAACATCAGTCCTGTTGTGATCATCAGTGGCCAACTCAATAAACAATCGAAACCCACTCTCAATCGCCTCAGCCAGGGCGTTTTGGGGACATAGTTTCGCCAATTCGGTGCCGAAGTCGGTGCCGACAAATTGAGCCACACAACCGACAAGGGTAGCATAGGCCGGCTTAAGCTCACAAACACACACCGCTGATTGATCCAATTGGTCGTGGCAGAACCTTGTCGTGGTAAGCATACTTGAAAAGCAGCCAAAGAGCGCCATCAGCGCCTCCAGGTAGCGGTCGCCCCACTGGGCCATCACCCCTGGTACCACCAACATGGCCACCACTGCGAGCTGTCTCCACTGCATCGATGCCACACTGTAGATGGGGCTCGCCAAGGCCGGCTGCGGAGGGCTTAAGTGTGATTTGTAAGGCCACCGGAACCGTATGATTTGTCGGGCAGAGGCGATGGCGGCGCACCTTGCCTTTGCATGTGCGCGCAAACCGCGAGATGACGAAGATAACCCGGGTAAATGTCCGCGATCGGAGCGATAAAAAATCATGAGTGCTAGCTGATTGGGTCAGCCTAGATAGTACAGTAACCATGGCAACTAAGTCCGACTTGGTATCTATCCCTACTATAGTGGTAGCCATGGGCTACGTGGGGCTGGGCTATGTGACTACCCTTTTTTAACGATATCTAAACCATCAGATGCGTCCGAGGATCGGAAAAGCTCGGCGCCCTGTCAAAAAAAAAGTGCCGCACCCTTTGAAAGATCGCGGGTGACACAATAACGAGCTCAACGGTCGAAGTACAGCGTACATGCCTCGAAGTACGGACATGTACATCCCAAACACGTCAAAAACCTGTCACCACTCTTTGGTTAGCTGTTCACTAGAGCCAAGGAAGGGCCAAGACAATTGGCTCTACTCCCTAGTTGGCGTTCATTGGTCGAGATGGAGATCGCCAAGATTATGCACGGCTGACAACGGCGTTTCTGCGATGGCCTCCTCATTAGAAGCCAAGATTTCCAGTGGAGGCTGAGGGGGGAGGCAGCGATGCAAATGAGAAAATGTACGCACACCCGCAGCAAGAATGGGACGCATAAATACAACCCTAACCGCCATAATTTTCCGCTGATCGTCTTCGTTTACACTCCATAGCAGTATGCCCTACGCCACCCTGGGGCTGACCCAGTTCGAGGTGAAGAAGCTCGAGATCTTGCTGAACCAGTACACCCACCCCGCGGCACGGGTGGCGTTCTACTTTGCCCTTTTCCTCGTCGCCTACGCTTACGGGCTCGACGGTAATATTCGGTACGTGTTCCAGGCGACGGCGGCGCTGTCGTATCTGAGCCACTCGCTTTACGCTACCGTCAATGTCATTAGGGCGGTGGTGGCCGCCGCCGCTCAATTTGCCTACGCTCGGTTATCCGATACTTTTGGCCGTCTCCAGTTGCTTGTGGTGCTGATTTTGTTCTACGTCGTTGGTACCATTATCACGTCTCAGGCCTACGATATCCAGCGGTTTGCTGGGGGCTCGGTGTTGTACCAGATCGGTTATACTGGTTTGATGATTGTCTTGCAGCTTTTGATCATGGACAACTCGACGTTGAACTGGCGGATGGCGTGTCTGTTTATCCCTGCGTTGCCTTTCATTATCAATACCTGGATTTCCGGCGACATCACCCTGGCCATCGGCACCAGATGGTCGTGGGGGATCGGGATGTGGGCGTTCATCTTGCCGTTGGCGTGTGTCCCTTTGCTCGTGATGTTGGTCCACATCGAGTGGATGGCCCGTAAGACTCCCGAATGGCAGCAATTGATGGACTCTCGTGGTAAGTCCATTGACGACCAAGGCAAGGCCGTCGTCGACGAAAACGGCAAGCCCATCATCGTCGAAAAGGTGTCGTGGTTGGCGTACTTCGTCGACTTATTCCACCGGCTCGACGTCATTGGCCTTCTCCTCGTCGTGTGTGTGTTTGGTTTTATTCTCGTTCCCTTCACCATTGCTGGTGGTGTCCAAGAACAATGGAAGACGGCGAAGATTATTGCTCCTCTCGTCATTGGTTTCTGTTTGATCCCCGTGTTCGTCGTGTGGGAGACCAAATTCGCTAAGAACCCGTTGCTTCCCGGCCACTTGATGAGAGACCGAGGCGTGTGGCTGGCGATGATCATCGGTGTTTTCGTCAACTGGGTGTGGTACATGCCCAACGATTACATGTATACCGTGTTAGTCGTTGCCGTCAACGAGCTGGTGACGCTGGCGACGCGGATCACGTCGCTCTACTCGTTTGTCTCGGTGATCACCGGGTCCATCGTCGGGTTATTCGTGGTCAAGTTCCGCCGGTTGAAACCTTTGATCATTTTCGGGATCTGTGTGTGGTTTGTCGCCAACGGTTTGCTCGTGCACTACCGCTCGGGTGACGACGCCCACCTGGGGATCATCGCCGGGCTCGTTCTCTTTGGCTTCGGCGCGGGGTTCTTCACTTACGCCACCCAGGCTCTGATCCAAGCGTGCACCAGCCACCAGCACATGGCCGTGGTCACCGCCGCCTACTTGTCGCTGTACAACATCGGTTCCGCCATCGGTGCCTCGATTTCCGGGGCGGTGTGGACTCAGTTGTTGTACAACAAGTTGGTGGAAAAGATGGGCGACGCCGCTCTCGCCAAAACGGCGTACGGGTCGCCGTTTGAGTTCATCGTCGACTACCCGTGGGGCGACCCCACCCGGATGCAAATGGTCCACGCCTACCGCGAGGTGCAGAAGATCCTCTGTGTCATTGGTCTCTGTCTCGTGGCGCCGATGTTGATTGTGCTGTTCTTCCTCCGTGACCCTAAGCTTGAACTGAAACAGGCGTTGGAGGGTATCGAAGAGAAGAACGCTAAACAGGGGTTGAAGGGGGTGTTTGACGTGTTTAAGATGAAGAAGTCGGAAGAGTCACACGAAAAGACGATGGACATCGGCGTCGCCGAGATCAGCGCCGATGAAGACACCGGGTCGTCCTCGGAAGCGAAGCACGAGTCGTCCGACGAACAAAAGTAGACGGTAAACGATGGTTTGTATGATATTAATGAACGCAAATGAAATATAACTGAAACCATTAGGGAAGTACCCGGTAGACGCCCGACGAGGTTTGGTTCTGCGGGTTGCAGAGCTCGGCACACTGAGCTTGCCGCTGTTGATGGCGCCAGCGCCGACAGGTTAAGTCGCGGGCATTGAACTCGGCAGGGGTGCAATTGATGTAAACAAACGGTTGGTTTCCCGCTGGTACCACTTGGGGTCCGTCTGAGGGGGACACTGCTGATGCTGCCGATGTGGTTGATGGAGGCGATACCGACACCAGCGGAGACCTTGATTGAGGAATAAACGGAGCCATTAGCGGACGGGGAGGGTACTGAGGCACGGGGTAATGCGGGTGAGGGTGTGGCGGGTGGTAAGGATGATGACGGGGATGGTGGGGGTATTGGGGCATTGCTGGCCCTGGGAGAGGTCCGAGAGGAGGTGGGGACATCATTATGTGGTGAGGAATGCCGTAAGGTACTTGTTGGGGCGGTTGGGGCGCTGTGGGGGACGGGATCGTCGGTGGCCGGGGCGGCGGGGGTGCCATCATCCACGGCGGCGCTGGCGGCACTGGCGGTCCCCCGTAGCGCGTGGAACCAGCTCCCGGGGTAATTGACTGGTCACGGTCACTCATGGAGCGGGTGCCGGCCTGTGGGGGGTGGTTAGGGGTGGCGTTTGTGGCGTCACCTTTCACTGATAGTAAATAGTGTGGGGAGGCGCGATATGGCTGTAGTGAGTCAAGCACGTGAGGTAACCGCTGGCGTAACCGCTGAGGTAGAAAAGGCGACTAGCCTTATGATTACTCTAAAAGAAATGAATGATTTAGACTTTCCTTAATGAATTGGTTAGCTTCGGATTCGAACTATCGGTCATGGCTGCAACAGTGAGGAGTGGATAGAAGTGAGACACCCTGTTTGGTTTAAGTACTAAGAATGATCTAGCAATAACTGACTTATTTGATCTGTTGTATGATCAATACACCTAAAGCAGTAGATTCAGGCAAATTCAAGTTCCATTCTTATACATAGCAGCGGGGCCTTCTTGTACGTATATCCCCACGTTTTCCACAAGTAGGCGCATTACGCACGTCACCGGTTGGCATTTAATCACTAACAACAGTCGATGGTCGGGAGCGATGTGAGCCCCCCTGACTCATCCACTAATGACTCCAGCTGCGACGCTCTTAGACGAATTGATGACAGCTACTACCAGATCTCTCCGAAAAAGCTTAGGGCTGCCACTAAAGGCCGGGCCCTGCTTTTGAACCATACAATCCGTTACTTTCTCAACCAGCCCCCTGGTTGCCTCAAAAATTTCCCTGATTTCCACTTTGACATTGACCCAAAGTACCGTGTCCCATTCTTCTACCATAAACTGTACTACTCCTATTTCACCGTTCGTGAAGCCGAGTGGACGAGGGAATTCCACGAGCTTACTGCCCAATGGAATCAGCTTCAACACCATATGAAATGGCACGGAATACTGTATGCTCCCACTACCGACGCTGGAAAACAGTACTGGGCGTTAGGGGTACAGCTTGCACGTAAACGCTCTAACCTCGAAGCGTTGGCCAAGCAAAACTCGCCCGACGCTAACGCCCAGCTTCATTTGACGAAATCGATTGTGGCGCTTGACAAGTCTCTTGCCGAGCTCAAACGCCAACAAAACCAGGAGTTAGAGCGCATGGAATGCAGTGCCACGGACACTTACCTCGAGGATTTGACGGAGGTGAAACGTCTTCGGAATTTGATCATCCAAAAGCTCCATACGTTCAAGATCTTGTTTGCAAATTTCGCTTATTTTTACGACGCAACCGAAACAAATGGTTACTACGTATTTCTGGACGACATGGTCAAGGTGGTGTACAAAGATGACATCGAACCACACATTGTGGGTATGTTCACCAACAAGGAAAAACACGCGTACATAAAGCATTACCCTACCAACTATTTCACGGAAGTTCGACGCATGATGGACAATACCCCTCTCCATGCGTGTAATCTCGACAGTATACAGTCATCGAGGCGAGAAACCAAAACTGAAATTGCTGCCTTTGAGCGCCAATGTTCTGCGTGGAAGTCGTCAGAAATTGTCACAAGATTTGCGTTTCTGCTGGAGATAACCGTGTTTTCTAACTATGGGCTAGCGATTTTCCGAGTAAAGCCGGGAGAAATGGAGTATTTCGACGTAGCAAAGCAACATTTCGACAACCCCGATCAAGTGACAATCAAGTGCATTATGCAGTTTTCCCCTTTTTGGGGACGGGGCGAATTTATAATGCTCCTTATATATTCCCACGAAGGGAACGCCCCCCGAGCCACCAAATCAACCGCAAATGGGATTTCGAAGCTTACCATTCTTCGCCAAACGAAGGGAGACTGTCTGGCATGATGTATTGGGCGGAAAGCTTGAAGGACAGGATCCTCCACAATTGCAAATTAAATCTTGTAAGGATTCCAGACGGATGGTGTTACACACTATATCAGCCATACGTAAGCTTATGAACCGTGACAATGGGAATAGAAGGAAGCTTGGTGGTTGTGTTGGGAGGCACTTTATCAACCGTGCAACGCCCGAGAACTCGGCGAATCTTTGCACGTAACTCATCAGAGCACTCATGTTTATGGCTATGACGAATGTGCGTTGAGGTGTTCTGTGGAAGCACAACCACCGGTTCATGATTGTGGGCGCACACAAATAAGCCAGTTTCCGTATGCCTTTCAATTTTAAGCTCTGTTTCAATATCACTACCATCGGAATCGACGGTATCATGATCAAGGGGTTCTCCCGGCCTGGACCCGACAATCACGCCTCCGTCATGAAACACTGCTGACTTTTGAGTGGTACTCGCTTACTGCCCTTGCACGCCGGGTTATGCTTCCATCTGGCCTTGATGACTTTATCACACTTCAAGCAATGATATGCCACGGTGGCGGGAATGGCAGGAAGCTTGGTTTAGACTCAGCTTGGTGACTTTGCTTTTCCTTGGCTCTTTACAAAGCTTGTCGCAGATTCTTTTGAAACATTTGCCTTTGTGTCTGGAACACAAGTGGTACCCTATCTGCTATTGTAGCACCACCATCGGTTCGTGGCCCTCGGTACAAACCACAAGCCCAGTTTCTGCGTGCTTCATGACGTTCACTTTTGGTCTCGTAGCGGCAGAAAAAGTTAATTCGTCACCAGAAACTTCAGTGGCTGGATCACGAGCACCAATAGAGGTGTCGCTACCTGGATACAGTGGAGTGTCAATATCAGACAACACTGACTGGCTTGATAAGTCCTTATCCTCCAGCAGAAAGTTTTCAATTTCGATTATTTCCACATCGCCGTTTTCGTTCGTAGGGATGGCAGGCGCAGATGGTTACGGCGGGGCGTGGCTGGCTTGTTTAGATTGCTTATTAAGACGGTTTTTGTCTGAGGTAGCGTTGAAGGCCTCGCCAAGGCTATAAATAGCTTGATAAGGTTCGAGTGGTGGGGATGGAGAGTCGCACAAGTCGATCACCTCCACGCCGTCAGGAACCGACGCTGGTGAGGCAGTTTTCGCCTGATTACGATGTTGGGGCCGGCGTTTCCTCTTTGGCTGGCTTGTACCATTGGTTTTTATCCGTCCACGCTTGCGGAAACTGTCCTGACGGGAACCAGAACTCATGTGAGTGGTGCTTGGTGGATGCAGCACCCACAGATAAGACGCGCAAGAATATGTCCGCCGTAGCGTTACATAAAAAATATAGAACACGAGGCTGTGTGTAATTCAATTACCGATTTGAATGGGAAGACATGCTCTGACATTTGTATCATATTCAGGTGTAACCTATGACAAAAGCTGTGTTTGCTCAGTGAAACCGGTCGCTACTTAGGGAACGACCTACCGGTTCTATTGCAAAGAAGGTGCTCTTAGCCAAATACCCGATGGGGCACCGCAGCAAGGATACCGCCTACTTCATCCTAAGATGACAGTGCACATCAGAGGTTGCATGAACCCACTCCTCGATCAATTCGTGGCCAAAATATATAGCAAAAAGAAATGGTCCCTAGCGGGATCGAACCGCTGATCTTGGCGTTATTAGCACCACGCCTTAACCAACTGGGCCAAGGGACCTGAACTGTCAAATTTTAGCTTAAAAGAGGTGTGGTTTTGTGTTGAGTGTGCCTTTCTGATCGTTGAAGGGGCCCTCGTAGTCGTAGAAGCGTCGTATTTTCACAGAGATTGCGTTAAACAACTGCTTTACTAGTTGAACTTTTCCATTGCACGATATTTGGCACGCCAAAGTGAAGATTTGTGTATCTGCATCGTGGACATTTACTTCCTTTATCGACAACCACTGAATGATCAAACTCGTAACTTCACCAAACAAATATCGGTCATTTTACATCGTTCACCCATTAATGGAGACAAAGCCTAACGTTGGAGCCCACTCAGCAATTCAGTTTTCTATCGTTAACGCCGACATACGACCAGATTCGTCTTTTTCCTGTGTGTGCGCTTATTGTTTACGAATTTTCCGAAGTTGCCTCGCATCGAGGCTATGACAAGTCCGCCAAGCGGCTCTATAATACCTCGGATGCTCTCTAGCTACTTCCGAAATATAGATTAGCAGGTAAAGATTGCAAACCTAATTGGGAAGGTGTTGAAATCGTCGAAATTGAGGTTACTATTTTTCCCTCGGTAGTTGAGCTGGAGACGCGAGCCGCACTGCTACCGTTGTCAGCACGATGAGCACCCCGCGAAATGTGACTCCCTACCATCTTTAAACCAAAGTAAAATCATCAAATGAGCCCTTTGGATCGACTAATGGAAGGTTCAAATGTTTAGCAATTACCCGTTGAAGGCGGTTTATTTTTAGCCCTGCTAGTTCAATCTCAGCCTCCCCACTCCTGAAGGCTATGTAAACGCACCAGCATGTAGTTATCGTAACGTTCATTGTGGGCGATATGTCGCTGACAACGAGGAGGGGATCGGGACCTGAGCGTAGTTTAAATTCTTGGCCAACTCCGCTTTTCACGTCCTGTCCACCCCCACACGGCTTACAAAGCGATGATAAATTGGATCTACTCCAAGATACTATCGCCTGAGGAGTACCAGAAACGGCTAGAGAGGAAACAGAAAAAGCGAGACCAGCTCCTGCTAAGGGTGACGAGAAACGAAATTAGGGGGAAGGTTCGAGGCAGTCGTTCCACCCATAAGAGCAGCCACCATAGCAGCCACCATAGCCAGAAAAACACCAAGGTTTTTACGTTTATCGAAGGATTTGACCACTCGCGCAACCGCCATCCTAAGAGCCCAAAAAAGGACGACTTCTACGATACAGAAACTGACAATCGAAATCACAATTCGAAAAAGGACCACCAGCATCATTCAGGTAATGATCGTGGCGACAAAAGCGATCGTGGTAGTAAAAGTGGTAGGAAAAGTTCAAAAGGAGGTGATACTGGAGGCAGCGACCGTGGAGGAGATAGCAGTAAATAGACCAGTTATAGCAACAAAAGAGAATAAATCCAACGAACAAATTTGGGATCTGACTAATGAAGGTTTCTGTGCTCATTAGTTAGTCCCTAGACCTGCGGTGGACCGTTATGCTACCTGCAGTACGTGCATTATCTGCACTACCTCACCCAAATGCGATATTTAACAGCGGGATAAAGGTCTGGAATTAAGCCACGATCCCGCGTCATCAACAAGCACCCAACGACGTGTTTTTCCTCGCCAAGCGGCTGACGACGAAACGGCCTGCAAGGGATGCATTCGATCGCGTAGCACCACCTGGTGACGACGTAGACAGAACCACCACTCTCAAAATAGAGGTACAAGTAACTTTCCATGTTGGGTGCAACGGTTGCTAACGGTGACACTAAATCGAGATAATGGCCACCCTGGTATATAGTGAGGGTGATTGCAGGTCTAAGGAGGCAGCGAACACCCTCCTTGCGCGTAGCTCTTTGGGAAGCGGTAAGTCCTTTTTCTCGTGCAGGCTAACTCCGCGGGTCACGCCTATTTCAGTAGGTTTGATATGGGGGTAGCGCGGTAGTTGCGGAAGTGGGTAAGGTGTAGCGTGAGGGTAGCAATTGCTTTATTCCAGGGGTGGACACGGCAACGATTGCGGTAGTGTTGCCGTGGGTAGCGGGTGGCTTGAGGGGCGCCGTTTGTCTCGTTTTGTCACCGTGTAGAGCGACGTCATCGAAGGTCATCGGACCCGGATGCGCGTTTCAACCGAACAATAGCAAACCCTGATAGCACGTGCCGGCGCCTGCCATTATAATTGCAGACAAATTGCAGCCATTTCACCACTAACTACCACCAAAGCCAATTATGCTTGGAAAATTGTTGTACGAGTGTCTACCACAGTACAAGCAGAAGACGATTGTCCTCCGCGAAGAGCGCCGCCGCGAGAACAAGGAGGAAGCGATGTGGAGAGAGCGAGAGCGGAAACAGCAGGCGATCATCGCCAAGCGGGAGAAGAAGAGACAGCAAGCTTTAGAAGCTGAGGAAAGAAAACGGAGACAGGCGATTGAGGACGAGGAAAGACGCAAACAGGAATTGTACCAGCGCCAACTGGCCCAGCTCCAGAAGCGGTGGCTGCTAGTGGAGGCCAAGGAGCGGAAACGGGCGGAAGAGATCAGACAGCGGTTAGGGTATAAGGAGCTGAGGCGACTGCTCGAGCGACGCACGCGCGATGAGATGATCGACCAGGGCCACCGCGTGGGCAGCGGCATCAGCCGCCTGGGCTCGTACCGTCTCCAGGCGACGAGATGACCCCATCGTTAATAGACTGTACACTACGGCTGGTTTAGCTTTTAATCTGATACCTTAATACCGAGTCGTTCGATAGCTTCTTTTGAGTAGGTTCTTTTCTTTTGGTGGTTGCCGGCAACTGCGGCGGCCACAAAAGTGGTCGATGCAGAGACGGTTGCTGAGACACAATTGTAGAGGATAATTGAGTCGTACGATCTCGTTGGTAACAGGGTTAACCGTGAGCTAGTCTCAGCAGATTGAGCACTTCCACCAATTCCGGGCGTTTAGCCCTGGTAAGTTCATGGCACGCCTCGGCGTAAGTGCACCACCGGCGCTGGCGTTTATCTGACTCTGGCCATTTGTCAGCTTTTTTATCCACCACCATTTCGAAGAAATGAAACTCCAGTTTCGGAACTTGAGTATGAGGGTCAAAATCACCTTTGATCACGGGAGCATGTTTTCTCAGGTCAAACACCACGGGAAGCTTCAGGGTGATTCTCCCCGTGACCCCGGCTTCTTCCCACGTCTCTCTTTCCGCGGCACGGGCGTAGTTATCGATTTCGTCGCGTTCAATGCCGCCTTTCGGGAGGACCCATTTGCCTGGGTGGGCCAGCAGCAGCACCATCATCACTTGAGTAGCGTCGAGAGATAGACACACACACCCAGCGACCATACGAGCCCCAGTTTTAGGGTTATAGATTTGGTTTTCCCGTCCCTCCCGAGCCACCATTGAGGGAGTATTGGTAGTCATAGTCGTGGTGGCGGTGGTACGCGGTATTTGCTGCGCTCGCTACTTAAGCATTTTGCAGCACAGATGTTTATCTCGACGGATTTTGCAGCACAGATGTTTGTCCTGTGATAGTGAGGCGTATCGGGTATGTACACTTCCAGGCACCACCATCTAGGCACAATAGGAGGGTCATCTCCCGGCGAAGAGGAAACTCGGTCTCCTTGACGACCCCACCTGCCTAACTCGTCACTCCTCACTTTCTTTATATATCGTATTTGGGGATCGTTTGCCATTTACGGGAACGGCTTTTGATT